GCAATCTGATGCTCGTTAGCTATCTGTGAGTTGCTCACTGATCTGAGATTTCAGTTTAGCTTGAAGTATTTGACAGAAGTGAAGATAACTGCTTGGTGATATCTTCACTTTGATCTTCAATATTCTTAGTACCCATTGGTTGGTCTGTAGGGAAAATTTTTTTAAAAAAAAACCGGTTTTTTTTATTATTTTAACTTTGATATTTGACAAAAGTGAAGATTACTGCTAGGTTAGCCCATCATCTGCACATTTTGTACGGATATTTGGCAAAAGTGAAGATTACTGCTCGGTGGGACTGATATTTGATGCTTCATTTTGTATTTGGTTGATTAAATATTGAAGGAATTATAAAATTAAGATCTTGAAGTATTGGGCTTGGGGAAATTAAGGCATTCCTAGCTATTTGGTTTGTCTTGGCTGAAATAGATTTCTTAAGAAAACGAAACAACAGAGAGGCTCAATTAGTCTTGGCTGAAATAGGTTGGGTTCTTGAGGCAACAAAAAAACAGAGGGAGAGGGAAAGCACAGGAAGGAGAGAGGGCAGAGGAAAAGAGAGAGAGAGAGAGAGAGAGAGAGAGAGAGAGAGAGATTTTTTAATGAATTTTCATAAAAAAAAATATTTCTTTATTTATTTAATTCACATGTCACGATGTAATTGGACATGTGGGTTCCACTTTTCTTCCACCTCAGACACTGAACAGAATTTTTGACGGTAGGGACCATTTGTAATAAAAAGTCCAAACGTTAAGGATTATTAGTGTCACAAAAAAACCTCAAGGATCATTTGTGATAATTTCGAAAACGTGAAGGACCATTTGTGATAAAAAAAAAAGCCTTTTTTTAAAGAAATAGTATAGCCGGCGGGCTATACTCGGTTTTTCTAATTTTTTTAAAAAGAAATAGTATAGCCGCTCGGCTATACTCGGGTTTCATTTTATTTAAAGGCAATAGTATAGCCGCTCGGCTATACGGGGTTTTTAATTTTTCGAAAACGATATAGTATAGCCGATCGGCTATACGCGGTTAAATTTTTTATTTATTTAAAAGAAATAGTATAGCCTCCGTTTTTTTATTTTTATTTAAAAGAAATAATATAGCCGCCCAGCCATACTCGGGTTTTCAAATTTTAGCCGCGAGACTAAACCAAAAAAACCAATCACAATCAATCACTAACCTGAGAAGAAGATTTCATGATCTTCCCTCTCTTGGCAAATTCCAAAACAGCTCCATGAAATGAGCTCAACCTAGAAGAAGGCACAGAAGCTATGAGTATAGGCAGTATCGCTGCAATCTAAGCTGTTCTGAGCAACCCAAAAAGAACCACCTCCATTTTAGCAAAAGCCCAGATCAGAACAGAGCTTAAAGAGTTGAAAAAGGCTAGTCTCTCTGCCAAAGGAAAGCACTGGCTCAACTGGGTCTTCAAGAGCAAACATTCTCATATATAGACCAAGTTGAAAAAGTAATATCAACTAAAAGAAAACTCTAAATTATGTACAACACAATCTAAGCATGGACTTGGAAATAAATGCCGGACGATACACTAAGTGGAACATTGGCTTCTGTGGATATTGCCACAGAAGAAAACTTGAATGATCTTGTAAAAGTTGGAGAGGCATTGTTGAAGAAACCCGTTTCGAGATTGAATTTTGGTACCGGTAAACTCAAGCCTGTTTATCCTGAGGTTACAAATGAAGAGGCTCTCGTGAGGTACAAATTTGCTCTTTTATTCTCATTATTAAGTTGTGTAATTTGAATAAATTATCATACTGAGTACTTTTGTTTTGTCCATTAATTTGCATGATCTTGTAGGATGGCGAAAATTCTCTCTGAGGAGAGGGCTTGGAGGAAGAGGGTGGTCGTTCACGAAAATGCTGCTCTGCTCTCACAGAAGTCCTTGTAGTCATGTTTTTCGTTAAGAGAAATAAATAGCTCAATAATTTTTATTTATTTATTTATTTCATGTAATTCAGTTCTGAAACAAATTTCTCCCAATGTCATGTATATATTTGTAACTGGGAAATTAATCAATTTATTCATGACGTGGCCAATGAAAGCAGCTTGAGTTGTTTTAAGTCTTCTTCTTCATTATGTTGTTGGAGTTTGTGTGCACTGATAAAGCACTATGAAATTAAAAACGAAAACAAAACAAAAAGCACTTTGAAATTAATATCCTTAGTAACATGTTTGATAATGAACAGAATTGAGATTGAACTACTGCATCTGTAAAGAAGAACGAACCTATGATGTAGATGGTTGGCTTGCTGCATGGAAGGTGAGTGGCTTCATGTCCATGGAACGCATGTAACTTAAAAACTCTCCAGGCAGCTCTTCCAAAAGACCTTGAACAACAGAAATCTGCCCACCTGTTACATTAATCGCGCAGCTATACACCTTCAAATAATATATTTAAATAGTATAACCGTGAGACTATAATATATGAGGAATTATTATCCCCACAATCTTGATTTCCGAGGCCCAGCATACCCAATGCATCCATTTATTCAAGCTGTTTAGGATCATGATCTGTTACTCATTTTTATATTGTTCTCCTATCATTGGCCGTCTTTAATTGTAATACTCAGGTGTAAATTGTAATACTCTAATTAGGTAATAATTATACATGAATATTTGAATTGGGTTATATTAGTTATTGAAATTTGAAGTTTTGTAGCATGTTGAGCTTTAAGATGGTTTGGTACTCTAGAAAATGAGTTAAGTATGGAGCAAGTTGTTCTGAGCAACCCAACAAGACCCACCTCCATTTTAGCAAAAATGCAGATCAGAACATAGCTTAAAGAGTTGAAAAAGGCTAGTCTCTCTGCCAAAGGAAAGCACTGGCTCAACTGGGTCTTCAAGAGCAAACATTCAACTGAATTATTGGGTCCTGAACTCCTTGCAGGTAAGGTTAACAACCAGAGTAGTAAGGTTTCTTTCACGGACACTACAGAAGCACTTAACTATATACACTCAAGCATAAATAAATAGAATGATGTCCAGTTGAACATAAATATTATCATTTCGTAGGTACCAATTGCAGTCTCCGTTACGCTTTTTGAAGCCAAATTCTTATGCAAAGGACCAGGGGTGATTGCATCCAAAGGAAAGGAAATCACGAACTGGAAGTTGCATCAGATTTTTCCTTACTGCAGCTGTGGGATAGTAGCTGGTATGGTGGGTAGCCTACTTGGGCTGGGAGGCGTTTTTATCTTAGGATCCCTTTTTCTTGAATTGGGAATTCCTCCTTAGGTATAGTTCAACGCAAGACAAAATTCACTCTACTCTTTTTGTCAGTCAGAAAATCTTGTCAAGAAATCCTTGGCAAGGAAAAATCACTGAAGAGGTTTGGATTCAAAATTCCTTGATCATTGGTTTTGATCCCAAGTCTTCCACTTTCCATTTCCAAGTGTTAGTTCTTTCTTATTAATCTTTTCTTTTGACTTGTTAATTTAATATTAATGTATTCAGTTTAGACATAATTAAAGAACTATACGCCATCCTATTGGTCATGCAGGTAATATAGTGGGTGCTTCAGTTTCAACTGCATACTTCAATTTGAGACTTACGCACCCAACACTGGACATGCCCCTTATAGATTATGATCTGGCATTTCTCTTTCAGCCAATGCTCATGCTGGGCATCGGCATAGGAGTTGCCTTCAACGTCATGTTCGCAGACTGGATGATCACATGTACAGTTCTACGTATTATTCTCTTCTTAGGGAATAACATTTTGACCACAATTTATTTGTTATTTGTTACTTATTAGTGGTTACTTTAGTGATTTCATAATGCAAAATCCATTTAATGTTGTATTTTCTGAAGCCCAGGCCCTTCTCTCTTGCCCAGGCCCTTTCCTAAACCCTAAACATAACACGCAACCTCTCGTCTTCTTCAATCTCATCGTCGTCTCTCTCTGTCGCCTCATATCACCATCGTCATCTCGTCCCAGACCTTGGAGTTCTAAAATGGCCTTTTCTTTCTTCTAGGCGCCAGCGCCCACCTAGACCGCCTAGCGCCCGCCTAGCCCCCGCCTAGCCCGCCTAGCCCGCCTAGCCCGCCTAGCGCCCGCCTAGCCCCCGCCTAGCCCTCCTAGCGCCCGCCTAGGCCATTTGTTCAGATATGAGTGACAGTGTGTTCAAGGATTTAACTTTTAAAGAAGATTTCCGAGAATTGGAAAAGAGAGATGATGCTTACATTGTTCCTACAACCTTTTGGTTTATTAGCACCATGATTTTAACTGTATCTGAACTTTGTGCAGACATATACTCAAAGTTGCTACACCAGTGAGTTTGATCTCTCTTAATCACCGTAGTTAATGCATCTCCAGCAAGAGAGAGAGAGAGAGAGAGAGAGAGAGAGAGAGCATAAAGGGGATATAACTTTTACGTCTAATTTTAGGGTATTTTGACTTGTTCCAATAAGATTTTATGATTCTTCCTTTAATGTTTACTGTTGTGGTATTTTGACTTTGACATATGTATTTCGGTTGTTCAGGAGATCAAGTTTGGTTGGAAAATTGTAGTTGGCTCAATAGTTGGATTCTTTGGTGCAGCATTGGGTAGTGTGGGAGGTGTTGGGGGTGGAGGCAATGCTTGCCTTGATCATTGGTTTTGATCCCAAGTCTTCCACTGCCATTTCTAAGTGTCAGCAATCACTACTTTTCCTTTTAATATTTTCTTTTAACTTGTTAATTTAATCTTAATGTATTCAATTTAGACAGAATTGAAGAACTGTATGCCATCCTATTGGTCATGCAGGTATGATAATGGGTGCTGCAGGTTCAACAGTATACTTCAATTTGAGACTTAGGCACCCAACACTGGACATGCCCCTTTATAGATTATGATCTGGCATTGCTCTTTCAGCCAATGCTCATGCTAGGCATCCGCATAGGAGTTGCCTTCAACCTCATGTTCGCCAACTGGATGGTCACAGTTCTACTTATCATTCTCTTCTTAGGTAATAACATTTTGAACACAAATTCCTTATTTACTTTGAATACTCCCAATAATCTTATTAGATATTTTTCTGAGTTCTGGCAGGTACAGCAGCAAAAGCTTTAATGAAGGGCATAGAAACATGGAAGAAAGAGACAAAGATGAAAAAGGTAAGGTTTTCACTTAACTATTTCCTGAACTATCAATGAATATGGTCTGTTAGCAATCTAATAACAAGGAATTTGAGGTTTCACATGACTTTCAGGAAGAAAAAAGCAGTTGGAATCGGAGTCCAAACCTGGCGGTGAGTGCTCCAAGCAAACATTCTTTTATATAGACCAAGTTTAGAGTATACTAATATGAACTAAAGGAAAACTCTAAAGTGCGCATCTCCTTAGTTGCATATGGTTCTGGAGAAGACTATAAACTACTACCTAGTGGTCCAGCTATGAGCAGGTAAGTTCCAAGAATATCAGAACATTCTAAGCCTGTATTCTTTTGCAACTTCTTTGTTATCTGCAATTTTTAAGTGGTTGATCAGTTTTTGTTCTATTGATACGATGAACAGCTCTATCCAGGTGTCTATATCACACAACGTTTACTGGAAGGAGTCATTGATGCTTGTGTATGTATGGGTGGCTTTTCTTCTTGTTCAGATTGTTAAGTTATTTTACTCTCTAGTTCTGTACAAATAAAGAAGCTTTTCTAGTAACTCATCCATTCGCATACCGAACGGTGATACTCGGTTTTTCTAATTTTTTAAAAAGAAATAGTATAGCCGGCCGGTTATACTCGGTTTTTACTAATTTTTTTTAATCAAGAAATGGTGTTTTAAACAAGGCTATACTAGGTTGTTTCTAAATTTTTTCGCAGAAATAGTATAGCCGGGCGGCGATACTTGCTTTTTATAATTTTTTTTAAAGAAATAGTATAGCCGCGCGGCTATAATCGTTTTTTTCAATCACTAACCTGAGAAGAAGATTTCAAGATCTTTCCTCTCTTGGCAAATTCCAACACAGCTCCACGAAATGAGCTTAACCTAGAAGAAGGTACATAAGCTTTGAGTATAGGCAGTATCGTTGCAATCCAAGCTGTTCTGAGCAACCCAACAAGACCCACCTCCATTTTAGCAAAAACCTAGATCAGAACAGAGCTTAAAGAGTTGAAAAGGGCTAGTCTCTACACCCTGCTCTGTACTTAGATGATTAGAGGGCATAGATTCATCAAAACATAGTCTCTTTTGAAGTATGTTTGAAATATGTTGGTTTTAGTTCTCACTTACATGTTGAAGTATGTTTGAAGTCTCACATATGTGTCAAAATATGGTTGCAGGGGTGCATGATTCCTTCTGGACTCATGCATGTGATGTGGACCAAATGAACGAGATACTTCTGGACAAATTGGTGGAGCTTTATAGCATGCCGATACTAGAAATTTCTCTTCCGGAAATTGGGTCTCATAAATTCAGATATTTCTTTGGCTTGTTTAAAAGCAAGTTGGGTGGAATGACTTGTATTTGAAACGATGATTTCTCAAGGCTACTTAAGTTCGTTTTGATGTGTCCTCACAAGGTTTCAAGATGAAGTTTAAGAACTTACAAATGCGTCTTCATTGTACAAAACTTTTACATTGAAAGACTGTATTCAGCTTCTCCCTAATTTTTACTATATGATATAATGAAATGGTCAAATTGCTTCTAATTGTTTGAGAACTTGCATTTAGAAAGTTGCTTTACACACATTTTATATGTAGACCTGAATTAAACTATTTGAAACCCACAAACACCATGGTACTCCTGCGAAATGTCATATGCCATGCTTTTCTTCTAGGATACCAGAAACAATCTTATTATGTTTCAGATTATGTCACTTCTCATGTGTGTCTCTGCAGAAACAGATTAACATTTGCCTCAGTTGTATCTCCAATGGGGTTATAGCTACTACACAAAGATATCAAATTCAAAAGTCAACCTTAATGGCAAATATAGGTGCAATCTGTTGCTTCATGTATAGTTATATGTGCTAGTAGTACAAAATGCAAAAGTTTAATCTAAATTCTCTAACTAATTCAAAGTTCCTACTATTAGACAAGCACTGGCTCCAAATAGTGTATGGCCGGAAAGAGACAAACATACAAATGCAGCCCCATACGTCACTTGCAAACCAACAAAGAAGTGGAGAACATGGGTAGAACTTAGGATCACTTGCAAAAAATCGTCTGACACCATGTTAGACAATCAGTGATCCCATAAGTTTAATGTGTTGTGTAATAGATCAACATTGTATGTCAAACTTGCAACGTAAAAGTTTATGCTAAATTGATGAAAAGGGTAAGCAACTATGCAATGCAAGAGAAAATTATGGAAACTTTCACAAACAAAATTTGACAGGACCCGCCCCGGAATTTCCCCCGAAACCGGGGCGGACCCCGTATTGTTGCCGACATCACACCGATGCCGGGCCCACTTACTAAAAACCCAAGACATCCTACCAAAATTTTGGCAGAGTCTCCCCTGTAAGATGCTCAAACCCAACAACATTCAACCTGCATATTTTACATAATATAAATCCCAACTGCCAGCATGCTTTCAACATACAACAATTCAAAGTAAAGTGGCCTCCGGCCTCAAGTAACAGCCTAACATGGGCGATAACAGAGCATCTAACAGAATTTGTTTACAACAACAGTAGAGTAGAAGGAATTTACACGAACCCTATCTACAGATGAAATGTTTGGAGCTCGGAAACCGCTCGAACGCTTCCAAATGCCACTACTGTCTGGGGGGCGCAAAACGGAAATATGTGAGTGGACAAAAATAAAGTTTGCATTTAAAACAACATAGTAACCCCACCATGTAAAAATAATGCTCAAGCATGCAGTCTCCACATCCATAAATCAAATACTCAAACATAAAATCTCAAAGTCCAATAACTCTCAAAAATCTCAAACCACAACTCCATTCCCACAAGTATGCAACTCTCACCAACCCATACATATGTATACCTATATAAGTATATATTTATATATATATCTATAATATAACGTATACTTCTCTCCATACTAATGTACCGGGGAAGACAATCCAACCGGGGGATTGTTGGCTGGTACGCAGGATTTTCGAACCAGAACCCGCGTCCAGGGATGAGTAGTCCAACCGGGGGACGGAACTCCAAAGCTCACACGCCGGCACTGCCAACGCCACGTGTAGCTCACAAATCTCATATCAAGTCCTACGCGCGCAGACGGTATCATCCCCACACCGGCACTGCCAACGCCATGTGTGATGATACTAAGCAATATACATACTCTTCCCATACACCGGCACTGCCAACGCCATGTATGGGACCAGCAATCTCATGACCTTCCCACCACACCGGCACTGCCAACGCCATGTGTGGGAAGCCTAGTAACCAGGGAATGGTACTCACCTAACATACTCATACATCTCACAACCATCCCTCAAACTCATATCTTTCCACAATCTCATAACAACAACTCCTCATACTCCATACATAGCACAATCTCACAACATCAACTCCTCATACTCTATACATAGGCAATATAGATAGACATCCCAAAATCCATATAAACATATCCATAATACTCAAACATAGCCATACTCAAAATATATTGCCAATACGTATATGAATATCCAAAGTCATCAACCAAATACTTAATAAATCACATTTCCATTTAAAAACATATGCACAAATCTTTTATCAATAAAACCATGCAAATGCTTGAAAACAAAGTCCACTCACAGGTAATCCCACGCTGCCCGGCCCCGAGAGGGTCCTGCCTGCTGCGAACGATCGACCGAAGTACCTATTTCGAGATACGAACCCTTGATTAATATAATACCCTTCGAAACGGGAATTCACAAAAGAGAATACTTAAATCCCCAAGATCCCGGTGCGTGTACGTCCAATAGGATATCCTAAAGTCCGTTACAAGTTTGGGAATCGCTTCCCATCCTACGGTTATCGTTAATCCCACAAACTTTGAATTATTGAATCGGAACATCCGGGGCTCCGATTCACGATCCACGAATTCCTATAGATTCTAAGAGTACCTAAATCAACATACTTCAATTTGGAAACGATCCAACGGTTAGAACTTATCGAACCCGAATAACGCACAATATGCGAAATCCGTTCGATAGTCAAACGACATCCAAATTGAGATCCGTAAAATCCTACGCACTCGTGACAACCTACTGATCTCATCAGGATAAAAAGCAACTTCACCAGCCTTGCCCACGCGCCGCCACACGCGCCGGCAGCGCGTGGGTGTGTAGAGAAATTTCCGGCGACGGAAAATCTCCACACCAACGCTCACCCTTCCTACCCTAGCTTCTTCTCAAGGTCAGGATCACTTTATTCAACTACCACGAGGTCCAATTCGCACGGGAACTGGCCGGAATTTCAAATTGAAAACCGGCCAAAACCTAGGTTTCCAATTCGGTTCCAAAACTCAAAATCGATCCAAACCTACCCCACAATCAGCTAGAGCACGTAAAAAGGAGAAGAAAACTCACCTAGTTCACGGAAAATGGACGGCGGAGACGACGGCGCAACGCCGTGAAGAATCCGGTTTGAACCAGTCGAACTGACGTCGGGATTCGAGGTTTCCGGCGGGGAAATGGGGTGGGTTGTGATCGGGGCTTCGAGACGAGTCGAACGGAACCGGTCTCGAGGGCTGAGGTGACCGGAAGTGGCGGCGGTGAGGGTTTTCCCGATTCGGGTGAACAGTGAACACGAGGGAGGGGGAAATCGCAGAGGTAGAAGACGCGAGAGAGAGAGAGAGAGAAAGTGAGGGGTAAAATGTGAAAAATCTGATTTTACCCCAAACTCACTTCGAAATAATTACGGTTCCGCCACCGAACTTAATTTGCTCGCCAAACCTTCGTTACAACTCCGATTCAAGCCTACCGCCTGTCTACGGTTTCGTCTCAGTACCACCTACGCAACCAAACCACTAGTGGTCCCGAAACTCCTTCTGGATAAGAAAATGACCAAAATTACCCTTAACCCAAGAGTAAATTAATAATTCTCTTAATTTAATTAAAATAGGAATAAATTTGGAGTCGGGGTGTTACAATCTACCCCCCTTATAAAAATTTCGTCCCCGAAATTCACGTACTTGTCAATGGAAGAGATAAGGGTACTTGGCCCGCATTTGCTCCTCGGGTTCCCAAGTAGCTTCTTCAACAGTTTGACTTCTCCACAGAACTTTCACTACCGGGATGGATCTAGAACGCAACCTTTGTTCTTTCCTATCCAAGATCTGTACTGGTTGCTCTTCATACGATAAATCTTCTTCTAACTCCACAGGTTGATATTCTAATACATGAGAAGGGTCTGGCATGTATTTCCGGAGCATGGATACATGAAACACATCATGTACTCGAGATAGTTCTGGGGGTAATGCAAGTCTATATGCAACAGGTCCAATTCGCTCCGTAATCTCATAAGGTCCAATGTAACGAGGGCTTAACTTCCCACGTTTCCCAAATCTCATCACACCCTTCCAAGGAGATAATTTCAGGAACACCCAATCCCCAACTGCAAACTCAAGATCCTTAGACCTGTTATCTGCATAACTCTTCTGTCGGTCTTGTGCAGTTTTCAACTTCTCCTTTATCATCTTCACCTTCTCATTTGTTGCTCGGATACTATCCACTTTTTCCAGTTTCTTGTCACCCACCTCATTCCAACAAATGGGAGTCCTGCACTGCCTCCCATACAACGCCTCATAAGGAGCCATCCCAATACTTGAATGATAACTGTTATTATAAGCAAACTCCACCAAGGCAAGGTGAACATCCCATGCATCCTTAAACTGTAACACACAGGACCTCAACATGTCCTCCAGAGTCTGGATAGTCCTTTCCGATTGTCCATCGGTTTGTGGGTGAAAAGCGGTACTGAACTGCAATCTAGTACCCATAGCTTCTTGTAAACACCTCCAGAATCGAGAAGTGAACCTAGGATCCCTGTCCGATACGATGGACACAGGTGCTCCATGCAATCTCACAATCTCATCCACAAAAAGTTTTGCCAACCTTGTCAAAGGATAGGTCTCCTTAATGGGTAGAAAATGGGCAGACTTGGTGAGTCTATCCACTATCACCCAAATTCCATCATGACCCTTTGAAGTACGTGGAAGCTTGAAAACAAAATCCATGGCAATACGCTCCCACTTCCATTCAGGAATCGGAAGTGGTTGCATGAGTCCCGATGGCTTCTGTCGCTCCGCCTTCACTTGTTGACAAATCAAACATCTACTCACATATTTGGCAATGTCTCCCTTCATATGCGGCCATGAATAATATGCCGTAGCGTCCGATACATCTTCGTACTACCCGGATGCATAGTGTAAGTGGAACAGTGAGCTTCCTCCATGATTTCTCTTTTCAATTCAGCATTCTTACTAGGTACACATAGACGAGCTCCTTTCACCAAGGCTCCGTCTCCCCTTATGGCATAATCCTTCCGTGTTCCATTTTCTACTTCTCCCCTTATCCTACAGAGTGTAGGATCTCCCAACTGGCTTGCAATTACCCGCTCCACCATAATGGGTCTCACATGCAAGCTAGCAAGGATTCCACCTTGTTGAGTCATCTCCATTTCTACTCCATCCTTCCGTAGTTCCACCAACAACGGAAGATAGGCCGTCCTGATGTGAGCTAAGTTCGCAGTGGTCTTTCTACTCAATGCATCTGCAACCACATTAGCTCGGCCTGGGTGATACTCAATCGTGCAATCATAGTCCTTGATCAATTCCAGCCAACGCCGTTGTCTCATATTCAGCTCCTTCTGAGTAAAGAAATACTTAAGGCTTTTGTGATCAGTGAAAATCTGACACGTCTCACCATACAAGTAGTGCCGCCAAATCTTCAAAGCAAACACCACTGCAGCAAGTTCCAAATCATGAACTGGATAATTCCGCTCATGCTTCTTGAGTTGCCTCGAGGCATAAGCAATCACCCGATCATGTTGCATCAGAACACATCCCAATCCTTGCAAAGATGCATCACTGTAGATCACGAAGCCCCCTGAGTTATCAGGAAGAGCCAAAACAGGTGCGGTGGTCAACCGCTTCTTCAACTCCTGAAAACTCTGTTCGCACTCCTCCGTCCACTCAAATGCAACATCTTTCCTTGTCAACCTCGTGAGAGGTGCTGCTATCGAAGAGAACCCTTCCACAAATCGACGATAGTAACCTGCTAACCCCAGAAAACTCCGTACTTCCGTCACACTTGTGGGTTGCACCCAATTCACAATAGCCTCAACTTTCTGCGGATCCACATAAATCCCTTCCGTTGAGATTACATGTCCAAGGAATACCACTCTATCCAACCAAAACTGACACTTGCTAAATTTGGCATAAAGCTGCTTCCTCCTTAAAGTCCTTAATACCAATCTTAGATGCTTCTTATGCCCTTCCAAAGTCTTAGAGTAAACCAAGATGTCATCTATGAACACAATCACAAAGTGATCCAAGTATGGTCGGAACACTCTGTTCATGAGATCCATAAACGCTGCTGGAGCATTCGTCAGTCCAAACGGCATCACCAGAAATTCATAATGACCATACCGCGTTCTGAATGCGGTCTTGGGAACATCCTCTTCTCTAATCCTCAATTGATGGTACCCTGATCTCAGATCAATCTTAGAGAAATACTTAGCATCCTTCAACTGATCGAACAAATCATCAATCCGAGGCAAAGGATACCGGTTACGTACTGTCACCTTATTCAACTGCCGGTAATCAATACATAACCTCATGGTCCCATCCTTCTTCCTCACAAACAACACCGGTGCACCCCATGGGGAAACACTAGGTCGGATGAAACCCATATCCACTAATTCCTGCAACTGAGTCTTCAACTCCCGAAGTTCGGCTGGTGCCATCCTATAAGGAGTTAGATAGATAGGATTGGTGCCTGGAAGGAGTTCAATAGTAAACTCGATTTCCCTTTCAGGAGGTAACCCAGGAAGATCATCTGGAAAGACATCAGGAAACTCACTAACAACAGGAATATCTTCCAGATTCAAGGTGATCTCTCGAGTGTCGATGATATGAGCTAGGAATCCTTCACACCCTTTCTGGAGTAACCTCTTAGCTGTAATAGCAGAGATAAGGCAAGTAGGGAGGATTCTACGTTCTCCCCGGAATATCACTTTGGGTTGTCCTGGACTCCGGAGTGTCACTTCCTTCCGGAAACAATCCACGGACGCATGATGCTTCTCTAGCCAATCCATCCCCTAAAATAATATCCAAATCCACCAAATCTAAGGGAATCAAATCGGCTTCCAACCACGCATCGTCTACTTGAACATAACATTCTCTGAATACCCGGTCGCATACAAGACTTCCCCCGTGGGTAGAGAAATACTAAAGCTTCCCTGTCATGGGTGTCGGTCTCACACTGACATAAGGTACGAAGTTGTGTGCTACGAAAGAATGTGTGGCCCCCATCTCTGACCACGACCTCGCGTTCTTGGTCGACGAGTCGACATGGTTCCACACAAAGAAACCATAAAATCATTGGATCAACAATGCAGCAAAAGCGCAAAAGTCGAAGGAAAATGAACCTAATGCTCTGATACCAAGCTGACAGGACCCGCCCCGGAATTTCCCCCCAAACCGGGGCGGACCCCGTATTGTTGCCGACATCTCACCGATGCCGGGCCCACTTACTAAAAACCCAAGACATCCTACCAAAATTTTGGCAGAGTCTCCCCTGTAAGATGCTCAAACCCAACAACATTCAACCTGCATAATTTACATAATATAAATCCCAACTGCCAGCATGCTTTCAACATACAACAATCCAAAGTAAAGTGGCCTCCGGCCTCAAGTAACAACCTAACATGGGCGATAACAGAGCATCTAACAGAATTTGTTTACAACAACAGTAGAGTAGAAGGAATTTACACGAACCCTATCTACAGATGAAATGTTTGGAGCTCGGAAACCGCTCGAACGCTTCCAAATGCCACTACTGTCTGGGGGGCGCAAAACGGAAATATGTGAGTGGACAAAAATAAAGTTTGCATTTAAAACAACATAGTAACCCCACCATGTAAAAATAATGCTCAAGCATGCAGTCTCCACATCCATAAATCAAATACTCAAACATAAAATCTCAAAGTCCAATAACTCTCAAAAATCTCAAACCACAACTCCATTCCCACAAGTATGCAACTCTCACCAACCCATACATATGTATACCTATATAAGTATATATTTATATATATATCTATAATATAACGTATACTTCTCTCCATACTAATGTACCGGGGAAGACAATCCAACCGGGGGATTGTTGGCTGGTACGCAGGATTTTCGAACCAGAACCCGCGTCCAGGGATGAGTAGTCCAACCGGGGGACGGAACTCCAAAGCTCACACGCCGGCACTGCCAACGCCACGTGTAGCTCACAAATCTCATATCAAGTCCTACGCGCGCAGACGGTATCATCCCCACACCGGCACTGCCAACGCCATGTGTGATGATACTAAGCAATATACATACTCTTCCCATACACCGGCACTGCCAACGCCATGTATGGGACCAGCAATCTCATGACCTTCCCACCACACCGGCACTGCCAACGCCATGTGTGGGAAGCCTAGTAACCAGGGAATGGTACTCACCTAACATACTCATACATCTCACAACCATCCCTCAAACTCATATCTTTCCACAATCTCATAACAACAACTCCTCATACTCCATACATAGCACAATCTCACAACATCAACTCCTCATACTCTATACATAGGCAATATAGATAGACATCCCAAAATCCATATAAACATATCCATAATACTCAAACATAGCCATACTCAAAATATATTGCCAATACGTATATGAATATCCAAAGTCATCAACCAAATACTTAATAAATCACATTTCCATTTAAAACATATGCACAAATCTTTTATCAATAAAACCATGCAAATGCTTGAAAACAAAGTCCACTCACAGGTAATCCCACGCTGCCCGGCCCCGAGAGGGTCCTGCCTGCTGCGAACGATCGACCGAAGTACCTATTTCGAGATACGAACCCTTGATTAATATAATACACTTCGAAACGGGAATTCACAAAAGAGAATACTTAAATCCCCAAGATCCCGGTGCGTGTACGTCCAATAGGATATCCTAAAGTCCGGTTACAAGTTTGGGAATCGCTTCCCATCCTACGGTTATCGTTAATCCCACAAACTTTGAATTATTGAATCGGAACATCCGGGGCTCCGATTCACGATCCACGAATTCCTATAGATTCTAAGAGTACCTAAATCAACATACTTCAATTGGAAACGATCCAACGGTTAGAACTTATCGAACCCGAATAACGCACAATATGCGAAATCCGTTCGATAGTCAAACGACATCCAAATTGAGATCCGTAAAATCCTACGCACTCGTGACAACCTACTGATCTCATCAGGATAAAAAGCAACTTCACCAGCCTTGCCCACGCGCCGCCACACGCGCCGGCAGCGCGTGGGTGTGTAGAGAAATTTCCGGCGACGGAAAATCTCCACACCAACGCTCACCCTTCCTACCCTAGCTTCTTCTCAAGGTCAGGATCACTTTATTCAACTACCACGAGGTCCAATTCGCACGGGAACTGGCCGGAATTTCAAATTGAAAACCGGCCAAAACCTAGGTTTCCAATTCGGTTCCAAAACTCAAAATCGATCCAAACCTACCCCACAATCAGCTAGAGCACGTAAAAAGGAGAAGAAAACTCACCTACTTTCACCGGAAACTGGACGGCGGAGCGACGGCGCAACGCCGTGAAGAATCCGGTTTGAACCAGTCGAACTGACGTCGGGATTCGAGGTTTCCGGCGGGGAAATGGGGTGGGTTGTGATCGGGGCTTCGAGACGAGTCGAACGGAACCGGTGCCGGCTCTTCCGTTGCCGGAACTGAGAGAATCGAAGAGAGAGGGAATCGGTGTCGGGGAGAGAGAAACGGAGAGGAGATGACGCGGGAGAGAGAGAGAGAGAGAAAGTGGGGGTAAAAGTGAAAAATCTGATTTTTACCCAAACTCTTCGAAATATTACGGTTCCGCCACCGAACTTATTTTGCTCGCCAAAACTTCATTACAACTCCGATTCAAGCCTACCGCCTGTCTACGGTTTCGTCTCAGTACCACCTACGCAACCAAACCACTCGTGGTCCCGAAATCCTTCTGGATAAGAAAATGACCAAAATTACCCTTAACCCAAGAGTAAATTAATAATTCTCTTAATTTAATTAAAATAGGAATAAATTTGGAGTCGGGGTGTTACAAAATTGGAGTAAAAACTAAAGATCCATCATCTCAACTTGCAAGGGCCTAGCGCCTAGAGGAGTAATCGGGGCCTATGTGAGTGCCTATGATTTTTTAAATAAATTATTTAGTATTATAAATTACAAATTTATACCAAAATCATGAAAAATAAAAGGATATATATTTTTGATTTAAAATATACTTATTAGTGGTTACTTTAGTGATTTCATAATGCAAAATCCATTCAATGTTGTATTTTTTTGAAGCCCATGCCCTTCTCTCTCGCCCAGGCCCTTTTCTAAACCCTAAACATAACACGCAACATCTCTTCTTCTTCAATCTCATCGTCGTCTCTCTCTCTCTCTCTCTCTCTCTCTCTCTCGACTCATAGCACCATCGTCATCTCGTCCCAGAACTTGGAGTTCCAAAATGGCCTTTTCTTTCTTCTAGGCGCCAGCACCTGCCTAGACCGCCTAGGCCATTTATTCAGATATGAGTGATAGTGTGTTCAAGGATTTAACTTTTAAAGAAGATTTCCGAGAATTGGAAAAGAAAGAGATGATGCTTACATTGTTCCTACAACCTTGTGAGTATTTGCTAGAATCTGCGTGCCTTAAGTGATACATGCTAATCCAAAATCTAAAAGTTTTGGGTTCATGTTCTCATCCAAGAGAATGTTACTGACCTTCAAATCTCTATGTATTACCTTCAAACAGAAATCATGGTGAAGATAAAGAAGCCCTCTAGCAACACCCTGAATAATCTTGAAGCGTCGACCCAAATCAAGCACTGATCATCTTGGCATTGGAATTTGGAATTCAAAATATAACAGTAAAGTCATTAATACATCCCAATCCCGTGCACTTCACAACGAAAAAATTGACCATCAATAGGTAACAAAGAGCAGTTGGTAACATTTAGAGATAGTTGCTACCGCTTATACCAACATAGGCTTAATTATTTGAATCTGTCAAATGATATGAGTACATATGCTATGACCATTAGAAGTATGTTACATTTTCTACGGAATATACACTTCCAGTAATCTTATTAGATATTCTTCTGAGTTCTGGCTGGTACAGCTAATTAAAGGCATATAAACATGGAAGAAAGAGACAATGATGAAGAAGGTAAGATTTTCACACAACTATCCGGATCCCCTGGGTTATCAATGAGTAGGGTCTGTTACCAACGTACTAACAAGGAATTTGAGGTTTCACATGACTTTCAGGAAGCAGAAAAGCAGTTGGAATTGGTGTCCAAACGTGGCGGTGAGTGTATATATAGACCAAGTTTAGAGATTATGCACTAATATGAACTAAAAGAAAACTCTAAAGCGCACACCTCCTTTGTTGAAGATGGTTTCATTGCAAGATGAGCAGGTTAGTTCCAAGTTCTTGGTTATCTGCACTTTTGAAGTTGTTTCAGATTCTGTCTTATTGAATTTGTGAACAACTCTGTCCAGGTACCTATATCACACAACATTTTCTGTCTTATTGTTCACATTGTTAAGGTAAGTTATTTTACTACGTAGTTCTGTATAACTAAATAAGCTTTTCAAAAGATAAGATCATCACTAGAAATGTAGTCAAGTTTGATCTTTCTAATTCCTCTGCATTTTCAGGGGACGCACTATTGCTTTGAATTTTGTTACTGAATGAATCTATCTGAATCTTTATGCAGACATCACTAGCAATGTAGTCAAGTTCGATCTGTTAGGTTTGCTGTGGTCACACATCACAACAGAAGCATGATAACTCAAATGAATGCCCTAAGAACCATGAAATGAAATTATAAAGCTGTCCGGAGGACTATAAGCTGATTATGGGTGCACTTGGATTGAAATTAAGCTTTAGAATCGTTTGCCTAAGAACCAGAAAAACATGCAATATAATTTAAACCTCATATTTTCCCAATGATGACCAGCTGAACATAATATATATCATTTCAAGGTACCAATTGCAGTCCCCGTTACGCTCTTTGAAGCTATATGCTTATGCAAAGGCACCAGGGTGATTGCGTCCAAAGGAAAGGAAATCACAAACTGGAAGTTGCATCAGATTTTTCTTTACTGCAGCTGTGGGATAGTAGTTGGTACTTGGTATGGTGGGTGGCCTACCCCTTTTTCTTGAATTGGGAATTTCCTCCTCAGGTATACTTCAACGCAAGAGAATATTCACTCTATTGTTTTCATCAGTCAGAAAATCTTGTCAGGAAATCCTTGGCAAGCAAAATTCACTGAAGAGTTTTGAATTCAAAATTTCTTACCCGCCCCTACTCATCAAGTTCAGCCCAAATCCATTGGTGCAAAGGAAGTTTTATAAAAATATCAACTAGATGACCTGCCATTAACAAGTCAGCTGGACTGGCCTCAATTCAGAGAACATATATAAGCCTCATAGGCTGATAGCCTACCATCCATAACATACATTTTTGGGTATCATAACCGAAAATATCAGGAAGAGAAAATCACATCTGCAACCAAAATAAGCAGGAAGCGAGATTGATGATTTCTTATCTTTTGCAGGTAGCAAGTGCTACATCCACCTTTGCAATGTTATTCTCATCCTCCATGTCAGTTGACCTTCTCAACCGTTTCCCAGTCCCATATGAAAGTAGTAGCAACAATCTAATTTAAGTTGAGATGTCAAAAATTATTCAACTTTCATTAAGCTTATAGCCACTCATATATTCTATATATACCAGAAAAAAGAAGGAGAAAAAAAAAACCAACTGTTCCAAGTTTACTCTATGCTGCAGCTGCTTATTTTGTTTTAGTTGCAACAATTGCTGCATTTACTGATCAGCATGATTTAAAGAATCGGATCTTGATTGAGTACATATACAATCCGTTATTCCTTCTCTCATTTGTATGCATTTTAACCATGAAAGTTGTATATTGAAGAAGCTCTGCCTTCTTGATTGGTGTATATCAATTGTGAAAGGCATCATTTTCTAAGGGACCATTTCTACTAAGTGAATTGAAATTTAGGAACTTAAATTTAGATGAATTGATAAGGTCAAATTGTTCGTTTTGGCTTAATGTTCACACATGGCAAAGTTTATAAGGATAAGAAAAAAGAAAATTAATCGATTTCTCAATCTCACTTTTATTCTCACTCATTTTCCTCTATACTCTTAAGCACAAAAAATAAACGCTAAAAACTAAAATTAAAATGGTGATCAGTGAGCCCTAAATAGAAAAAATCTTGAAACATTACATATACAATGTAAATTTAACAACCAAATAGAAAAATCATGATCCAAATCATATGCTATAAACAAATGAGAAAAATCTTTGGCAATAAAATAAAATCCACAAATCATGGTATGGGCCATCTTAACATAACCCCGTGATGGAGCCAGCTTTATAGACTTTATGGACACGGCCTTCGATTCGATTATACACACCATGTTGGGGTATTGGACTAGGGGAAACCTCCATCGCTGCGCATTACTGCATTTCACTAGGAAGAGTAAACCCTCTTTGGTTAAAAACTATAAAGTCTTTGCCGACAACGCCCATTTGTATTTGGCTATCATTTAGTTCATTACATTGACATGGTACATCCGCACTTGAAATCTTTGCTCCCTTGAAATTGAAATCTTCCACTGGTCTGTTTATAAGGGAAAATACGAACACATTAAGATAAGGGTGAAGTGCGTACAAGTGAAACACACCAAAATTAAGCTTCACGAAAACACATACAAACAGAAATCAAGGTTGCATACATACAAATAGCTAGTAAATTTCTTCACTGCAAAAAAAAATAATAAATTACGTACCCTTAAAATTACTCATTAAAGCCTTTCAAAAGAGAGGGGGAAAAAACCTCATTAACGATGCAACTATTGACTTACGCCTAAGCTCCCCAACTTACCTATCTAGATATGTAGATACAGTTCCTATTTTTTACAATGCAATTGCTACAGTTCCCATTGGGTTCAGGTTTTAATAGGTTTGGAAAACCAAAACATATATATAATCTTTCGAAATAGTAATCCATTCTTCATCCTTACAACAATAAGCTTAGAAAGTATCTTTAGAAATTCTCTATTTTTTTTAATTAGTATGGCTACGCGGCTATATTCTTTACATAGATACTATGATCTTTTTCTTTTTTTATAATTCTGTTTTCCCCATTTTTGTTTATTGATAAAGAGTATTTGAGAGCTTTATCCATTACTATTAGGCTATACCAAATTAATATCTATAAACTAATGTAACTATGAGGGTCTTTTTCTTAATTTTTGAATGTTGTTTAGAATTTTAAACATGCCCAACCATTTGAAAGTTTAAAATATTGATGGATCATAAATGCTTATAATATAGAAAAAAACGAAATAACGTGGTGGTCTACTACAGGTGCCAGCAGCCTCATGACCAGTGTTCGAGTCCCTTGGAGACCATTTTTACAACACTTATTAACAATGTACCGGCACCGGGTCGGGTTTCGCGAGTTCAGACCCGATCGCTGCTACGAATATTGTCGGGCAGGTTGAGACATGACCCGAATGCTAAAAAATGAATTGCAAAATGGAACTAAACTACTCCGATTGAGTCAGGTCGGGTTGAACTGAATTTTTACCCACCCATACAGTGCATAATTACATTTGCTCTAAATTGGTTTCCATCCAATTCATATCTCGAAGCAAGAATGTCTGACAAACTTTGAACTTTGAGCTTCTTGATTACTCTGTAAGTTTCTCAACATTATTTTAGTGCATAATTACAGAGTAATCAAGAAGCTCAAAGTTCAAAGTTCGTCAGACATTCTTGCTTCGAGATATGAATTGGAGGGAAACCAATTTAGAAAAAATGTAATTATGCACTGTATGGGTGGGTAAAAATCCAGTTCAACCCGACCCGACCCAATCGGAGTAGTTTAGTCCCATTTTGCAGGAGTTATTTTTTAGCATTCAGGTCATGTCTCAACCTGCCTGACAATTTTCGTAGCACTTGAAATCTTTGCTCCCTTGAAATTGAAATCGTCCACTGGTCTGTTTATAAGGGAAAATACGAACACATTAAGATAAGGGTGAAGTGCGTACAAGTGAAACACACCAAAATTAAGCTTCACAAAAACACATACAAACAGAAATCAAGGTTGCATACGTACAAATAGCTAGTAAATTTCTTCACTGCAAAAAAAATTAATAAATTACGTACCCTTAAAATTGCTTCGAGATTCTTGCTTCGAGATTTGAATTGGAAGGAAACCAATTCAGATCTCGAAGCAAGAATATGAGTCTTTTCTGACGACCTTTGAGCTTCTCAAAGCAAGAATCTCTGTAAGTTTCTCTACTTTATTTTAATTTCCTGGTGATAATCGATTTAATTCCAACGCATGAAATGAAGCTAATATACACCACTTTCAGAAAGATATTGAAATAAATATTTTATCAGAAGTAAAAGAGTCTATTATACTTCACAAAAATAAACCGGAAGTTCAAGTGCTAGTAAATATCAACAAGCTTTCCTAAGATTGGATATCTAATATACAATGGAATACGCTATAATGCATAATCCTAGAAAACCCCAATATTCACTATCCAAAGGAGTATTTCCATAAATATGAAAAAAACCTAAAAACTAAAACTAAAAGGCCCAGATTCATAGCAGAAAACAAGCAGATCACAAACACAGACACAACCAACACAATTAAATTTATACAAAGAACCCTAACCAGTCCAGCTAACCCAACATAAACCCTAAAAACACTCATAAACAGAGCCCTTCGCAGCAATCTTAATTTGATGTAATCAGAAGAAAACAAGAAGTCAGTAATCGCATAGTTTTGCGACTCCTGGTGTACCTGTGATCTGTGATTTGGTGTACACCTCCACAGAAAATAGATCCAAAGGAGATCTACCTAGATCTACCACCAAACCTCATCAAGAACACTTACAACAATGGTCCAAATGTGGGAGACCTAGCCAAAATCAGAACAACAGGCTGAGAGGCAGCCCCAAAAAATAAGGGTGAGACACAGAGAAGAAGGGGCAGACTAGGGTCTGGGTTGAGAGATGGCATAGTATTTGGGAGAAGATAAAGAAGCCTCCTTTTGGACGAGTTTTCTATGGGGAGATATGAAATTTTCCAACCAATCAAGCCCAGCATTCAAACATCAAACACTTGAACAATCAAAAGAACCAATACCAATAAACAACAAGAAAATTTGAAGAACGAGAAAGCTATGAAACCCACATTCTTTTTTTCTTCCTTTTCTGGGTATTATACAAAATATATCAGTTCCATGAGAAAGGAGGTACCTTTAGCAGGAGCCATTGCTCTAAGCTCTGTGATAAACAATCCTACCTGACAAGCATTAAGAAAACAGAAAACAAGGATAAACTTAATCAATACCGAGAGAGAGAGAGAGAGAGAGAGAGAGATACGAAGAGAGGCAGTGTTGCGGCTAGGGTTAGGAAACGAAGGGAGGAGAGAGACTGAGAAATTGGGGAGGCAGAGAGAATACGGTCTTATATGAGTATTCAACTTTTTGGAGTCCAATCAGGTGCGGAAGGTACATGGTACCAATTTGAAATAACCAGTCAATCCTTGCCACATGTAAAATAAATTAAACAAATAAAAAACTGTTTTTTTAATCTGTCCGATTAATTGTATTAATTTCTTGGTGTTTATCCAGCATGGAGGAGATGACATGCCCTGTTACGGGATGCATGATTTGGAGTCCTATCATTAAGAATGAGAAGGTAAGCCTAGAAGTGCTTAGATAAGTTCAAATTATAAATTGAACAAATACATTCTCCTAACATAGTGTTTTTTTTTCCTTTCCTTTTCTATATCCAGTTTTCCAGATACCTTTCAGATTTTAGGGAGTTGAATTTGTTAGGAAAAGGTGCATTCGGTTGCGCCTACAAATGCCAGCACAAGATTGATCAAAACTTCTATGCCATCAAAATGGTCCCAATCGGTGGTCTAAACAAAATGAGCTTTGAGACAGTCATTAAGTAAGTATTTGACTTTTTAAAATATATATATATATTATTATGATTATGTGCACTTCTCATATTATATTGTAATTATAATTCACTCTTATTCTAAATGTGACATGCTTGAATTGTTTAGGGAAGTTCATGCGATGTGCAAGCTTGAACATTCCAATGTTGTCCGCTATTACACGGTGAGCAATCTATCCTAATTTAATTAAGTAAACATGCATACATAAATATATTAAGAAATTAACATATGTATGTCTATCAATATCTTTTTTTCTAAATTCTAGTCATGGGTAGAGCCACCTACTTTTGGAATTTCCGAAGAGAGCTCATCACAACAGCCTGATGTTCCCCATTTGTACATACAAATGGAACTCTGTGAGAGGTAAAGACAATTAATTGTTGTGTCAATTAGTTTTTTCTTTTTTTAACATATTGTTTTATTGGCAAACAAATCTATAGACGATTTGTTGCATGATACTGGAAAATTGGATGAAGATACATACTGGAAAATAAAATTAATTGTTGTGTCACTAAGTTGATTTGTGATTCTAACATATTGTTTTATTATGTGGCAAACAGATCCATAGAAGATTTGTTGCGTGAAGATGGAAAATTGGATAAGAAGACGTACTGGAAAATTGTCATGGGTATCATGCAAGGCTTGGAATATCTCCATGGAAAAGGATTCATCCATGGTGATTTATTGCCTTGCAACGTGTTCCTCCTGCATAACGGAGAAGCAAAACTAGGCGACTTTGGACTTGGTGAGTATTGAGTAAGTAACGAGTGCATGATGTTAGCTGATTTTGAATTAATGGATGTGGTAGCTAATTTAAAAATAATTGATTTGCAGCTAAAAGCTTTGATGCTGAGCATGAGATGAAGGACCTGAAAGCTGCTAAAGATATAACAGTGGAGATGTTGAGAGCAATAGATCCGAACTTGAAGAATGACTTGAACAAAACAGTCAAAAAGATTTTTTAGGGCCTGTGGAACAAGAAGTTATCCATCACAGCATCAAAGATAGTGGAGAAGATGCATTTGACTTTGCAAATGTGAGCACAGCTGGTTATTGTGCGCACCCTTGAGACATTGCTCAAGGGCAGTACAGAAGTCCAATGTTTGAAGACTGTTCTCAAAGTATTCCTCCACAAGAGAGAACATTTCCTTACTGTTCATATATCCTTCTTGCATTCTAGAATGACTTTGACCACTTCCTTCCTGGTTCGTTTCAAGCAAACAATCAGTAACCTCTTTGGGTCTATATGGACCGTCATTTGGGTCCAGAAATTTCCAGAAAACCAAACTACGGCTAACTACCAAAAATGATAATTTCTTTTCCTCTTTCTTGTCTTCAATGAACTTGGAAAGAGCTCAAAAAAATTTAAATCTACCAAAGGCTTGAAAATGCAGCTTACCAAGTGCTCTCAATGCAAAGACATACTGGGGGAAGTTACGAAATCCAGTCAAATCTAATCGATGAGTAGGTTGAAGTACCAAAAATTATCCAAAGACGTGGACTTTGGTTAGATCCAAAGCACCCTAAAGCTATATTTCACTTGGTAAAGTAAAACCCACATGAAATTTCTGTAATCAAAATGCGAAACTTTATGATTTTGCTAACTGTAGCACTTAATAAGATCAGATTTACCTCAACCTAATAAGATCAGCTTGAATATATTCAAAGATAAGATGGAACTTTACACTCGCTAAAATCCTCCACAAAGAGCAAGATTCCCAGAATCCAAGCAAAACCCAACACAACCAGCCAAATGCCAAGTCTTGACACAACCCAGAAGACAACGATCCTGAACAACACAGAAGATATGATAAAGACGACCACTTACACAACCACCAATAAAGACTATTAGGAATATCTTTGTAAATATTGTAATATCTTTACTTGCCCAAATTAGTGTAGGTCAAATCCCACTAATATTGGATCACGTCTTCACAGCCTTAACAGCAGGGTTGATAGAAGGCTATTGTTGTATATATGTATTGTACTATTTGACGTTGATAATACAACACAATATTCAACCATTCACTTTATTAAGATGGTATCAGAGCTTCATCCTGGTACTTGACCCTTTCTACTTCCTAGCCACCTTCAAACACCATGTCAGATCAAACACCACCAGAAACCAGAAACAATAATTCCAAAAATTCAAGCACCAACACCAAAAATCCTGGTATGGATTCATCACATCCATATTTTGTTCATCAATCAGATCACCCCGGTCTCATGCTCGTTCCCATAAAGTTGAACGGCACCAATTACCCATCTTGGAGTAAATCCATGCTCCATGCTCTTACGGCCAAGAACAAAGTTGGCTTTGTCAACGGATCCGTTCAACCTCCTTCAGAAACTGAACAACCAGCCGAATATGCTCTCTGGAATCAATGCAATAGTATGATTTTATCATGGCTTGCTCACTCGGTGGAACCCGATCTGGCCAAAGCAGTTGTTCATGCCAAGACTGTCCATCAAGTGTGGCAAGATTTCAAAGATCAATTCTCACAAAAGAATGCACCAACCATATATCAGATACAGAAATCCATCGCCTCTCTCTCACAAGGCACCATGACGGTTTCAGACTATTACAAGAAACTCAAGGATCTCTGGGATGAATTAGAAACATATCAAACACCTCTCACATGTAACGAGATGAAAGCACACAATACACAAAAGGAAGAAGATCGGATGATGCAATTCCTTATGGGCCTCAACGACACCTACAACGGTGTTCGCGGCAATATCCTCATGATGTCGCCATTGCCTAATGTCCGCCAAGCCTATTCACTCGTCGTTCAAGACGAAACACAGCGACAAATAACATCAGGACCAACAGAGAATTTTTCCATTGCTGCTGCGATTCACAGCCGATCAAACAATATGTCGAATAATTCGATGAACAAACACTGTGAGCACTGTGATAGAAACGGTCATACAATTGAAGAATGTCGGACCCTCAAATTCCATTGCAAGTATTGTGATAGGAGAGGCCACACTGAGGATAGATGTAAATTTAAAAATGGGACATGGGTTCCCAATGACACAGGGATTCAAGGCAGTAAGCACAATCAATCTAAGCAGCAACGTCAAGGGTCTAAAGGGCACATCAATTCGCGTGGGTCTTTTTCTACTGCCCACGCAGCAGACACAACTCCAGCACATGAGGCCCAGTCATATGGTTTCAATGCAACAACCCAGCCAGCCTCTCAATCCAACCCTTTACATGGGTTTTCTGCAGAGCAACTCCAACAACTAGCACATGCCGTTTCTATGATGAGTTCAACTCATTCCTCTGGTAATAGCAATGCTTATGCAAATGCTGCAGGTCTGGCTCCTTTTTCCATTCCCTCCATAAATTCTGTGTTCACTAAACCTTGGATTTTAGATAGCGGAGCTACTGATCACATCACTCATGACCCCACACTTTTCACCAAAACTGAATCATCACAAATGCCCATTGTTAATTTACCTACTGGTTCTCATGCCCCAATCACTTCCACTGGCACTATACCATTCAATTCAAATATCACATTAGACAAAGTTTTGTGTGTTCCATCTTTTCGCTTAAATCTTATGTCTGCCAGCAAACTCACTACTTCTCTAAACTGTTGTGCCATTTTGTTTCCTACCTTCTGTGTCTTGCAGGATTTGGCTACGGGGAAGATGATTGGCTCGGGTAAACAGCGTGGTGGTCTCTATTACATGTCTCCGTTGCAAAAGACACCTGTCTCATATCAAGTTTCACTCTCATCTGATTTATGGCACATGCGACTTGGACACCCGTCCCCTGCTCGTCTTCGATTAGCTTCTTCATTATTGCCTTCCAATACCATTTCTTTTGATAATAATTGTAGTGTTTGTCCCATGGCCAAACAAACAAGACTTCCATTTCCTCTAAGTTCAATATCAACTAAAGCTCCTTTTGATTTGTTACATTGTGATATTTGGGGTCCGCACAAAGTTACCACACATTCAGGTGCACGTTTTTTCCTTACCATTGTGGATGACTTTACTAGGTGCACATGGATATTTTTGATGCATCATAAATCTGAAACCCAAAACCTTCTCAAATCTTTTGTTGCTTTTGCCCACTCTCAATTCCATGCCAACATTAAAACCATTCGGGTAGACAACGGGTCTGAATTTTTCTCCATGAGGGATTTTTTTCAAAATAATGGCATTGAATATCAGCGCACTTGTGTTTACACTCCACAACAAAATGGAGTCGTCGAACGCAAGCATCGCCACATTCTCACTGTCGCACGTGCATTACTTTTTCAGTCTCACTTACCCATTATTTTCTGGGGTGAATGTGTCTTGACCGCTGTCTATCTTATTAACCGATTACCTTCACCATTACTTTCCAATAAATCGCCTTTTGAATTGTTATACAACCGTCCCCCATCACTCAACCACTTGAAAGTCTTTGGTTGTCTCTGTTATGCAACTGTTGTCCATCCTATTCATAAATTTGATCCCCGTGCCATACGTTGTGTTTTTGTTGGATATCCTACTGGCCAAAAAGGTTACAAACTCTACAATTTGGAGACAAACAACTTCTTTGTAAGCCGTGATGTCCGATTCTGTGAAAATACCTTCCCTTTCTCTCAATTTTCGGCCTCACTTTCCCCATATACTCCCCAGCCCTACCTTTCCTCTGATTTTCTTAACAGCTGGACCCCACCCATCGATCCGCCCAACCCACCAGCCAATCCGCCCAACCCTCCAACCAACCCACCACAAGCGCCTAACCACTCTATCCTCTCTGACGCACATGACAGGCCTGACAGCCCCACCTCTCCCATCCCACCTTTGTCCCCATCCGTCAACCCCACCCCTCCACATACAGATAATCCCATTCCTCTCATTCCCCCTCCTCGACAGTCCACTCGCTCTAAACATCCTCCGGCATGGCATAGAGACTACCACATGTCCAACCACGTCAATCACTCAACCTCAGCGCCTCGTTCTGCATCAGGTACTCGGTATCCTCTTTCCCACTTCCTTACCTACTCTCGTTTATCTTCTGCCCATTGTGCTTTTCTTGCTAACATTACAGGTCACACAGAACCCACATCCTATGCTCAGGCTCTTCTTGATCCACATTGGTGTCAAGCCATGACTGCAGAACTAGAGGCTTTACAGCACAATAACACTTGGAGTTTGGTTCCACTGCCTGTTGGTCATAAACCAATCGGCTGCAAATGGGTCTACAAAATCAAATACAAGTCCGACGGCACCATTGAGCGCTACAAGGCTCGGCTCGTTGCTAAAGGCTACACGCAAATTGAGGGCATTGATTATCATGAGACTTTCTCCCCTACAGCCAAACTCACTACCCTCCGCTGTCTCCTTACTGTTGCTGCTGCATGCCATTGGTTCATCCACCAATTAGACGTTCAGAATGCTTTTCTCCATGGCGATTTACATGAGGTGGTGTACATGGAGCCTCCTCCTGGTCTTCGCCGACAGGGGGAGAACGTTGTATGTCGGCTCAACAAATCTCTCTATGGTCTCAAACAGGCTTCCAGAAACTGGTTTTCCACCTTTTCAGATACCATTCAAAAGGCCGGTTATCAACAGTCTAAAGCTGATTATTCTCTTTTTACCAAGGCTGAAGGCACTTCATTTACTGCAGTTCTTATCTATGTTGATGACATACTTCTCACAGGAAATAATCTTCAAGAAATGGAACGTCTCAAAAAGTTCCTTCTCAATCGCTTCCGCATCAAAGATCTTGGAGATTTGAAATATTTTCTGGGCATTGAATTCTCTCGTTCCAAGAAAGGTATTTTCATGTCTCAAAGAAAGTACGCACTTGATATTTTGCAGGATTCAGGACTTCTAGGCGCACGCCCAGACAAGTTCCCAATGGAACAGAATTTGAAACTCACTCCCACAGATGGAGAATTACTGAATGATCCAACCAAATACAGGAGACTGGTTGGCCGATTGATCTACCTTACTGTCACAAGGCCTGATATAGTTTATCCTGTTCGAACACTAAGTCAATTCATGCATCAGCCTCGCAGACCTCATTGGGATGCCGCCATACGGGTCCTTAAATACCTCAAGGGGACTCCAGGTCAGGGTTTGTTATTTTCTGCCACCAACAATCTTACATTAAAAGCTTTTTGTGATTCAGACTGGGGAGGTTGTCGTGCGACAAGGAGATCAGTTACAGGATACTGTGTTTTTCTTGGAAATTCACTCATCTCATGGAAATCCAAGAAACAAACCAATGTTTCAAGATCATCAGCAGAAGCTGAATATCGAGCTATGGCCAACACATGTTTGGAGTTGACTTGGTTACGCTTTATACTACAGGATTTAAAAGTCCCACAGATAGCTCCTGCACCATTGTTTTGTGATAATCAGTCAGCTTTGTATATTGCCGCTAATCCTGTTTTCCATGAGCGTACAAAGCACATCGAAATTGATTGTCACATAGTTCGAGAAAAACTACAAGCTGGAATAATTAGTCCTTCGTATGTACCTACACACTTCCAATTGGCAGATATTTTTACGAAGGCCTTAGGGAAGGATCAATTTGTGACATTGCGCGACAAGTTGGGACTTCATGATATTCACTCTCCAACTTGAGGGGGAGTATTAGGAAATATCTTTGTAAATATTGTAATATCTTTACTTGCCCAAATTAGTGTAGGTCAAATCCCACTAATATTGGATCACGTCTTCACAGCCTTAACAGCAGGGTTGATAGAAGGCTATTGTTGTATATATGTATTGTACTATTTGACGTTGATAATACAACACAATATTCAACCATTCACTTTCTTAAGAAAGACGACCATTTCTTTAGTATATTGGTTAAGTAGCTCTCACATGCGATGTAATGTATTATGCAATGGTTATTGGCTTTACTTGAAAATTCCCATATTTTAAGGTTGACTAAAGTTTATACAAATTTATAAATAAACCCAATCCTACACATGTATTTATAAAAAAACCCAAGCACTATTTAAACATAGAAACACACCCAAAATCAACCCCAAAGTCAACTTTTTGGGTGTGTTTATAAATGGGTTTTGAGTGTGTGTAATGATGGGTTTTGGGTGTGTTTATAAAGTGTTTTGGGTGTTGGGTTTTTTTATAATTTCAACCTCCATTTTGGGTGTTTTAGTGAAACTCCCTAAAGTTTAAGTATCTATTTAGTATTGCTATGTGGGTTGGTAAGTGATTTTTTAAAAATTTTGAGAAGTCCAACCCGTTTGGTAAACTATGAGAAAATCATTTATTGTTAAAAATTGTTGTGAAAGAAAGCTATAAGAGAAAGTAGTTAATAATGTGCTTTCATTTTTTGATTATGAAGGAATCAATTTCGAAGAGAAGCTAAATTTAATGATTATGCGGGAATTATTTTTTGATTATGCAAAAATTAGTACCAACAACACTTTTAACAAAAAGTTTACCAAACGTTAAACTGATTTCTCTCACAGTTAAACTATTTTTTTAAAAAAGTAGACCGGGTATATCCGCTCGGCTATACTATTTATATATATATATATATATAAAAAGAGGACCGCCTAGCGAATGGGGGTCACGTGTCAAAACAGGTATAGCTGAGCCGCTATACTATTTTAGAAACATTAATAAAACTGAGTATAGCCGAACGACTGTACTATTTTAAAAAAAAATAACCCGAGTATAGCTGCCCGACTATACCATATATATATATATATATAAATATAAAGAGGACCCACCTAGCAAATAGGCACCATGTGTTGAAATACGTATAGCCGCTCCATTATACTATCTTTCTCCCAATACTGTGTTTCTAGCAAGTTGGAAGCAAAGAAATTTCAAGTACTAGTAAATTAGTAATCAATTCAAGAAATCGTATAGCTGGGGGGCTATACTTGGTTTTTATATATAAATAAATTGTATAGCCGGGCGGCTATAATCGGTCTTTTTATAAAAGAAATCGTATAGTCGCGCGGCTATACGAGGTTTTTTTAATTTGTTTTAAAAGGTTTTTTCAATTTTTTGTTTTAAAGAAATAGTATAGCGGCGCGGCTATACTCGATTTGTTCTATTTTAAAAAAATTAGTATGGCCGAGCAGGTTTACTTGGCCCTTTTTTTATTTTTTTTTAAAGAAATAGTATAGTCGCGCGGCTATACTCTATTTTTTCTATTTTTTAAAATTATTATAGCCTTGCGGCTATATTCTTTACACATATAAGCGTAGTTGAGAGCTTTATCCATTACTATTAGGCTATACCAAATTAATCTATATATATAAAGCAAAAGGCAGAGAATGGTGAAACATTCAAAATGCCAGAAAATACCCTTGGTTAATGCAAACATTAAGAATTAAAATTATTAATTAAATGAGGATAATATGGTAAATTCACACTTTTCATATTTAAAAAAATTTAAAATAAAAAAAATTAAAATTGTTTTTTAAAAAAAAACCTCTTGCAGGCACGGAAGTGCGTGTGGAGAGACTAGTATTTATAAAGTATAAACTAATGCAACTACGAGGGTCATTTTTCTTAATTTTTGGAATGTTGTTTAGAATTTTAAACATGCCCAACCATTTGAAAGGTTAAAATTGACTCTATTTTTTTTATAAATAAAAAAATCATACTGAAATCCTGAAAATCATACTTAAATGTCATCATTTATAAAATAACTAGAATATGTCTATTTGGTCATTAAATCATACTTATTTTGAATAAAGTTACTCGTTATGTGTCATTTAAGTTTGAAAAAGGAAGCACCCTTGAGCAAACCCATTAGCAATGTAGTTCCTCTATCTATGAAACAAAACTTTTGGAAATTGAACATGCCCCATATAAGAATATTCGAACAAACTTCAAGCTATGAATAAAAAGGAAAATAATTAACATCCCAACAAAAGATCAATTATGAACTTAATTCAAATTAAAACCAATAGTACTAATCTTTAATCAACAAACAGACAAAGCTAGCATCAAACTATGATCCAAATCATATACAATAATCAAATAAATAACCACAAATCATGACAATACTTCTAGGGTTGATATCTTTGAGGTAAGAAGGCTGTGGACTGGCGGAGAGTTTGGGGTGGGGTTGTGCTTCTTGTGGGTGTGTCTTAGAGTTGTTGCATTTCCTCCATCGCTGCACATAATTGCATTTCACTAGGAAAAACAAACGGTGATTTGTTCTCAATAGGGAATGAGTTATTAATGCGCACGGCTCGAATTTCTCTATGTTTTTGTTCATCACATTGACATGCTACTTCCGCACTCAGAATCTCTACTCCTTTGGCGACACCTTCTGGTCTGTTTAGAAAGGAAAACACGAACAAATTAAGATCGAGGATGAAGAGCATACAAGTGATCAATGCACCAAATTAAGATTGAGGAAAAAGAACAAAATCAAGCAAAAGATTCACCAATAAACTAAGAAAATGACTTCAAACTAAGAAAATCTATTCCCAATGTTCCTTCAAACATAGAAAATCTACTCTCAATATTCCTTCAAACTAAGAAAATATATATTCTTCATTTTGACAGTAATACACTGAAAAAGTGTTTGCATCCGAAAGCAATATCAAAACAAACTGATGATGTGAGTTCTTCCAAAGAAAGCACGTTTTAATATTACTCTCAAAGCATTTTAAAAAATTAATTAAATTTTGAAAATATGAGTTTGAGTTGGTATTAAAAAGAGATGTTTGAATGTAACAACTTATTTTAGTCAATATTGAGTTTTCAAAAACGCTCTTCTTAGAGATAATGATTTGCAATTCATGAAATGAAAAGTACTAAAAGAGTAAATAAAGGACCCAGTCAACTTACATTATTGGAGTTGAGCAGGCATTCCTCTCACCCAAACAGTAGAAAGGTATCAAGCACGGACTTAGTGTAAAGAAAGGAGAGTGATAACCAGGTGAAGCTATTGTACATTTTCCTTTACCGATGAGTTCCACCCTTCGGTTTTCAAAATTGCAACTGCCGATCCAATTTAAAGTGCCAAAGAAAAGGACATGAGAATTTGGACATATTGCATAAGGTTTAATCGGATCATCCTGATCAAAAGAAGACATTACAGGATCTTTATATCTCATGATTAAAAGAATCATAACCCGATCTTGCAGGACTTCTTCAGAAACACTATGTTTGAGAGTCCAATGATCACTACCGGAACCAGATGTGCATTGTCGATCATCATAAGACCAAAACCGAATAATTTTTGAATTATCACGCTTTACATAACAAACAAGGCCCCTTGAGATCCCAAGACATTCCATTCCCATTGTTGTTGCACCCGTCTTATTATCATCAGCATCATCATCCTCAGGGCCATGAGGGAGATCAAAGGCACGAGCTTTAATAGTATTGAGGTCAATACCCAAAATTTTCCCTGAACTAGTTAGGCTGTATAACACCCCGCGCAAGTATACAAAATGCCTGCAAAGCTTGAAAGTTTTGAACCCCTCAATAAACATCGGGTTGAGTTGCAACCCATGTCGAACCCACTGTCTCGACTGCGATGAAAATATGTCCATGACCATGTCCAACGGGGCTGAGGTTGAGGTTGAGGTTGAGTTCAAGGAAGTCAGTTGTCGGGAATAATCAATTCGAACAACTCTGAAGTGATTCGATTCAATAGGGTCAAAAGCCAAGGCAGCACAAAAATACTCATTCTCATGTAAACATGCTGTAGGTATGGAGACATGTTGTTTGGTGATGGGGTTGCACACACAAAACTGATAAGTGCTTGGATTGTACAGCAAAACTAACCCATTACAACAGTCCAGGTGATTATCGGAGGTATTGCGTTTCTGACATCGAACCAAATCATAGAAATCAGGCAGTCCCTTCTCCAAGAAGGGATAATCTTGTACAAAGGCAAAATTGATTTGATGATCCGTATCATCAGGTTGGGGCAGAGTACAGAAGTAAAGACCCAAAAGAGGAACCCGCGACCAAAATCTCCGCAACCAAACATGAGAGATTATTTGATGACATGACTTGGCCACCATCTTGCATTTCAGCAAATCCTTGTGTGATAATCTAAACAAAATATTGCACAACAAATCATGACACAAAGATAAATCCCCCATACCCGAATCCTGATTGGCAACGGCAGCGGCAACGGATGAGGTAGAGAGACGATCAGTAGTCATTCTTGTATACACTTAACAACAAGAAGAGAAATATTGAAAACCCTACAACTCTGAAACTCAATTTTGATCTCCAGGTCCAGCCACAATAAGTTGATTGATATGTAGATGGAAAACTAACTATACAAAGGAAGGCTGGCTGAGTACCAAATCCTCCTTCCTATTTGGATTTGAATTTATTTCTTTTTGACGGTGTAATGAGATAGAGTCTTATTATAATCATATTTTCTGTTTTTGGTAGGAAACAAACCAACTATCTTCTTTAATTATTTTGGGAACGATTAGGAAATGTATTCCTTGCTCAATTTTGTTATGTACATGATAGGGCAGGAACTCAAAGGTGGTGTCTATCCAATTGGGCCGCTGATTAGTCGTCTGGGCCAAGAGGGAAGAATTCAAAATTATTATTGGTGAACCGGTGATTATTTATTTATTTTGATCAAAATTACTTGCTTTCCGCAAAGCGGAGTCAGCCACTTCTCCCGATCACAAAAGAAGGCATCAGCATATGGGAGTTGCCTTGATGGGGACATTGTTGTCAAACCTATTAGGCCCTATTTGGTTCACATAACGAATTTGAGGGAAAATCATTTTCCATGTTATTTTCCAAGAAATGGAAAATGAAATAATCATTTCCCATGTTTGGTAATGCTGGGAAAGTAACCGAGAAATATCACTTTATTTCCTTTCCCATGTTTGTTTTGAGTATAAATGAAAAACAAAGTTTGTATAAATTTTCAATTATACCCATGTTAAATCAAATAAATAAAGAATGCATTTAATGATATATTGTAATTCTAAATTGTTAAGGGGAACAAAATGGTCATGAAAAATGTTTATTTAATATCGGCTCATTTTCCCAAACTTTCCCATGATGAGGGAAAACAAAACCTAAGTTGGGAGGATGGCTTCACTTTCCCCCCACTTCCCCATGTGCCAGACAACGATTTCCCACGCCTAGACTTACTAAACATGGGAAATCAAGATTTTCCATCCTCAAGTCTCCTTTCCCATGAACCAAACGGGGCCTTAGGGTTTACAAAAGTAAGAGATGGAAGAGGAAGTCATTTAATTTGGTCTTTAAATTTGGCAATTTTTTTTATTCCTACCTTTAGTTTCTAATTTGTTCTCTAAGTTTTCCATATTTTAGTAAGATTTTTTTGTTTTCCAGATTTTAGTAGGATTTATAAGTTTCCTATTTTATTTATGTTAGAAATTCTGTTTTAGCAAGGGATTTTTTATTCTATTGTCTTAGGAGGATTTATAAGTTTCCTATTTTTTTAGGTTAGAATTTCTGTTTTAGCAAGGGATTTTTTATGTTCTATTGTATCTAGGTTTTAATTCATTATAGAGTTGTTGAGATATAAAGAAAAGTTTATTTTCCGAAGATTGGAGACTACTTGGTGTGAAACCAAACCCCTAGAGTGATTCCATACCTATCCTTATTCGTCCTATTTTCTGTTGTCCATATTGTTTTTGCTTCCGCTAAATTACCTAAATACTCAATTCACCCATATCCTACATCATGCCTTCAACGTCGTGTTCGCCAATTTGATGGTCATGGTTCTACTTATCATTCTCTTCCTAGGTAATAACATTTTGAAAACAAATTCCTTATAACTTATTTACTTTGAATACTCTCCCAATAATCTTATTAAATATTATTCAGTTTTTGGTTTATTAGCACCAATGTTTTCAAAGGTAGAGGCGATACATTTTTAGTTGCGCCTTGCGAGGCGTAAGCCTTTTGAACATTAATTTATTTTAATAACAAAAATTTATAAATAATACAATACAACTAAATTGTAGTACTAATTCGTATTAAACCATAATAATCTATCAATTACAAGTACTAATTCTCATTTAAGCATAATAATTAATCCTCAAACATAATATTAGGGTTATAGTATATATATAGGTCCATGTTAAAATATTTATAATTTTTAAAAAACAAAACAAAACCAAAAGAAAAAAGAAAAAGGTAAGCACAGCATTGGGGGGGTCAAACAAAAAAAAACATTTTAAAAAAACAAAAAAGGAATGTTGAAAGTTAAAATGTGCATTTAACTTAAAGCCAATGTTTAAAGAAACCAAAACCTCAACGACGTTGTTTTGAAGAAAACCTATTAAAAAAAAAATTCACATAAACTTCATATTCTTTCATCTCTCCGCCTCTATCACCTCCCCTCTCTCTCTACCTCCATCCTCTCTCATCTTTCTCTGCCTCCATCATCTCCTCTCGTGCACCCTTGAAATAAGGTGAGGCCTTCAGTAGCTACTGTGAGAAATTTAATATTATATTTAATATTAATTTTCTATTTGAATGGAAATTAATAAAATCCATTGGATTAAGGACATGACTCTTTGGTTAAAGACATATTCAATTGGGGAGTGACAACTCTTCGAACTAAGGAATACATTATTTGGGGTGATAACTCTTCAAGACCAAGGGATGTATTGTTTGCCTTTTCAGATTGGGATACCTTTTTGGAAAGGGTATTTCATCATCTATAAATAGACCAATCCTCCTGCAGTTTTAATCATTCAATCAATTCTCTACATACATACTTTCAAACATATAGAGCATTAGAGTTTCATAAAGAGAAGTTCCTGCATAATTTTGGTTCAAAGTTCCTTGTGAATTGTAGTGCTTCTTTCATAAGGAGGAGAGTCGTTGTATCCTGGGAGGCGAACGCTAGTGAACCATAAGCACCAGTGTGGTGCGTAATTCGTCTTAAGGTCAGAGTGTCCAACACTTGTCTCGACTCAATTAAGGTTCTTTTAATTCCATTATGTTGTTGTAAAAATCTGTTTTGTTTGTAGTGTTTATTTATTTATTTTATAGCAATTTAGCACTCACATTTCCTACAATCTTAAGACGAATTATATGTGTTAATTGCTATATACATTAATCTGTGTTTAATTGCCATATGCATTAATATGTGTTTGTGCATTTAAATGTTAACGTTGCAAAAGGTTTGATTTTGTACAAACAGCAAAACATTTTTTTAATTAGTTTTCTATTCTATTGAATTGGTTTCCTGTTAGTTTCTTTTGTTTTATACAATTCAAAGTTAAACAAATCTAAGTTATAATAATCGGGACCTTTCAATAAAGTTTGCCACAAACACTGTTTGCCTTCTGTTTCTATTGTTAGACAAAGTCTACTTATACAGCATCGTTTTTTTTAAAAAAAAATATTTGGAATCTGTTTTCTGTTTGGCATCATTTTTATTCTGTTTATAAAATTCTGATTATATTTATTCATATACATTAATTTCACTGTACCTATGAATTATAGCATTCTGTATTACTGTTATCTTGAATAATTGCATATTGCGTTTGCTATAAATTTTAGTGGTATTGTATTATTAATTTCTGGTTGTGTTTTGTTGTAACGCACTATTGCGATTCATTATTTATCTATTAAAGACTGCCAAATATTTGTTTATTGACATTAAGATTGTTCACTCAATTAAGGAAAATGTCGAATGACATACAAAAAGTGGGTCCTTCTGTGAAGACAAGTGCACTTGCTGTTGTGTTGCCTTCATCCCATAATTATGCAGAGAAGCCTGAAAAATTTAATGGGATAGATTTTAAGAGATGGCAACAAAAGATGTTGTTCTACATCACCACATTGAATTTGGCTCATATCCTGAAAGCAGATCCTCCTGCACCTGGTGATACAATAGAAACAGTGGCTGCTTCTGATGCATGGAACCAGCTGGATTTCCTTAGCAGGAACTACATCCTAAATGGTTTAAGTGATGCACTATACAATGTGTATAGTCCAATTCAGACTGCCAAAACTTTATGGGAGTCACTAGACAAGAAATATCGGACCGAAGATGCAGGAATGAAGAAATTTATTGTCGGTCAGTTTCTTGACTACAAGATGGTAGACTCCAAGACTGTCATAAGTCAAGTCCAAGAACTCCAACTCATTCTACATGAGATACATGCAGAAAAGATGAAATTGAGTGAGTCTTTCCAAGTGGCTGTTGTCATTGAAAAATTACCACCCTCTTGGAAGGATTTCAAAAACTACCTTAAGCATAAGCGTAAGGAGATGGGACTTGAGGATTTGATAGTAAGGCTAAGGATCAAAGAAGACAATCGCCGTGCTGACAAAAAGTCTAGATCTATAATGGAAGCTAAGGCTAACATAGTGGAAAAAGAGTCAAGAAATAACAAGAAGAGGAAGCATTCTGGAGAAGGCTCAAATCAAGGGAACTCCAAGAAGTCCAAGGAGTTTAAGGGAAAATGCTTCAATTGCAACAAGCAAGGGCATCGAGCTGCGGATTGCCGAAGTAGAAATGGACAAGGCAACCAAAAGAAAAAGGGCAAGACTAAGGCACACATGACTGAAGAAGATAAGCTTTCAACTGATTTGTCAGATATTAATCTTTCTGCAGTCGTGTCTGAAGTGAACTTGGTGGGTAACACCAAGGAATGGTGGGTGGATACTGGAGCTACACGCCACATATGTTCTGAAAGGAAGATGTTTTCTACATATGAAGCAAATGATCAAGGAGAGCCTTTATTCATGGGAAACTCCTCCACCTCCAAAATTCATGGCCAAGGGAAAATAATTCTAAAGATGACATCTGGAAAGGAAGTCACTCTCAATAATGTACTTCACGTCCCTGAGATCCGGAAGAACTTGGTTTCTGGATCACTGCTTAGCAAGAATGGGTTCAAGCTAGTCTTTGAGTCTGATAAGTTTGTACTTACTAAAAATGGAATGTATGTGGGGAAAGGGTACCTTACTGATGGACTCTTCAAGATGAATGTAATGACTATTGTACACAAAGTTAATAATAATAAAGTTAGTTCTGCTTATATGCTTGAGTCATCTGATTTGTGGCATGGAAGATTAGGGCATGTTAATTATGACAAATTGCGTCAATTAATTAACATGGAACTAATACCTAAGTTTCATATTGATTTCCATAATAAATGTGAAACCTGTGTTGAAGCAAAACTAACTAGATCATCATTCCAGTCTATAGAAAGAAGTACAGAACCTCTAGAATTAATTCACAGTGATATTTGTGACTTGAAATTTGTACAAACTAGAGGTGATAAAAAGTATTTTATTACTTTTATTGATGATTGTACAAGATATTGTCAAGTATATTTGCTAAGAAGCAAAGATGAGGCCATAAGATATTGTCAAGTATATTTGCTAAGAAGCAAAGATGAGGCCATAGAAATGTTCAAACATTATAAAAGTGAAGTTGAGAAAAGAAAATAAAGATATTAAGGCGGTGAATATGAATCACCTTTTAGTGAGTTTTGTTCCCAAAACGGAATTATTCACCAAACTACTGCTCCATACTCACCTCAGCAAAATGGTATTGCTGAACGAAAAAATCGTACTTTAAAAGAAATGATGAATGCTTTGCTAGTAAGTTCTGGAGCACCCCAGAATTTGTGGGGGGAAGCTTTACTTTCTGCTAACTACATTCTCAACAAATTGCCTCATAAAAAGTTAGACAAGACACCTTATGAGTTATGGAAAGGTCACAAGCCTTCCTATAAATACTTGAAAGTGTGGGGGTGTCTAGCTAAAGTTGCAGTTCCAACCCCTAAAAAGGTTAAGATTGGACCAAAAACTATTGACTGTATCTTTATCGGTTATGCCAACAGTAGTGCATATCGTTTCCTTGTACACAAGTCTGATATATTAGATGTACATGTGAATACGATTATTGAATCAAGGAATGCATCTTTCTTTGAAAATGTATTTCCTTATAAAGATGCACAAGAAAGAAATACACGTAAAAGAACCTATGATACTGTTAATAGCAATAGCCAAGAAGGTCATCAAGAAAATATAGACCAAGAGACTGCTGAACAAGAACCTGAACATGAACCCAGGCGTAGTAAGAGAGCTAAGACAACCAAATCCTTTGGTCATGAGTTTCTAACTTATTTGTTAGAAAATGAGCCTCAAACTTACAAAGAAGACATGACTTCTCCTGAAGCTCCTTTATGGAAAGAGGCTATTAATGCCGAAGTTGAATCCATCATGCAGAATCACACTTGGGAACTTGTGGATCTTCCTCCTGGAAATAAACCCTTGGGTTATAAATGGATTTTTAAGAAGAAGATGAAAGCTGATGGATCAATTGAAAAATATAAGGCAAGGCTTGTTGTCAAAGGTTATAAACAAAAAGAAGGATTGGATTACTTTGACACATATTCACCAGTTACGAGGATAACATCAATAAGAATGTTAATTGCAATTGCAGCATTGCATAATCTTGAGATACATCAAATGGATGTGAAAACGGCTTTTCTAAATGGTGATTTAGATGAGGAAATTTATATGGAACAACCTGAAGGGTTTATTGTTCCTGGACAAGAAAAGAAAGTATGTAAGCTTGTTAAGTCTTTGTACGGGTTAAAGCAAGCACCAAAACAGTGGCATATGAAATTTGACAATGCACTAATGTCAAATGGTTTCAAGATCAATGAGTGTGATAAATGTGTTTATATGAAAAGCACTCAAGATGGTTTTGTCATTATTTGCCTTTATGTTGATGATACGTTAATTATTGGTAGCAATATTGGGATGATTAAATCTAACAAGAAAATGTTGACCAAAAATTTTGACATGAAAGATTTGGGAGTAGCAGATGTGATTCTAGGAATTAAAATTTCTAGAACATCTAATGGACTAGTTTTATCCCAATCACATTATATTGAGAAAATACTTGCGAAGTTTAGCAAGTATGATACTAGTCCAGTAAGAACACCTTATGATCCAAATCTTAATCTTGTGAAGAATATAGGTCATGGCGTATCACAACTAGAATATGCTCGTATCATTGGAAGTCTCATGTATCTTACGAATTGCACAAGGCCTAATATAGCTTACTCTGTTAATAGATTAAGTAGATACACTAGTAATCCTGGAAAGGATCATTGGAAAGCTATAGTCAGAATTCTAAGATACTTAAGATACACCAAAAATGTTGGATTGCATTGTACAAGATATCCAGTTGTACTTGAAGGATGTAGTGATGCTAATTGGATATCTGATACTAAAGACTCCAATTCTACAAGTGGATATGTCTTTACAATTGGAGGTGCGGCTATATCATGGAGATCTACTAAGCAAACTGTTATAGCTAGATCTACTATGGAATCTGAGTTCATAGCATTAGATAAAGCTGGTGAGGAAGCTGAATGGCTACGTAATTTCTTAGAAGATATTCCATGTTGGCCAAAACCAGTGCCTGCTATATGTATACATTGTGATAGTCAATCTACAATTGCAAGGGCACAAAACAATATGTACAACGGCAAGTCTCGACATATACGTCGAAGACACAACACCGTTAAGCAACTGCTCTCTAGTGGTATAATTACCATTGACTACATAAAGTTAAGAGATAATTTGGCGGATCCGTTTACTAAAGGTTTGAACGGAGAGCAAGTTTATAGATCATCGAGGGGAATGGGGTTAAAGCCCATGTCAAATGAGTCGTCATAGTGGAAACCCAACCTAGTTGACTGGAGATCCCAAGATCTAGGTTCAAAAGGGACAACTAAATTATGATAACTCCAAAATAACATTGCGGAGATATATTCTCCTACCCATATCCTATGATGACACAGTGTTGTATGAAGTATGTTTAGGTTAAGCTATGCTTTTAATGATTCCTATACCTTGATTATCCGAGTAAGATATGAGAGGATATACCAATAGGAAATCACCTATATAAGTGTGAAATGGGGCCGTTTCCATGAGAATTTTTAGGGCTAAATTCTCTAAAGCGCTTATGAATGCCAGGAGTTGCTCAGGGCCAAAACGAGCACAACCGATCGAACCAAATATGTCTAGAAGGGTATTGTGTGAGTATTATTGTCTGGGTTTACACGAACGGCTGAACAGTTCAAGACATCACGTTCACTGATTAGCCAAGTAAATCCGATAGTACTTCACTATGGAAGGTTCAAAGCCAAAAGCTACCTATCCAAATGCCATATTCTTCTAATAGGAACTCTCTCTAAGTCTGCATTATCATTTGCATATTGTTGAAACTAATTTCCATTCATGTGGGGGATTGTGAGAAATTTAATATTATATTTAATATTAATTTTCTATTTGAATGGAAATTAATAAAATCCATTGGGTTAAGGACATGACCCTTGGGTTAAAGACATATTCAATTGGGGGGTGACAACTCTTCGAACTAAGGAATACATTGTTTGGGGTGATAACTCTTCAAGACCAAGGGATGTATTGTTTGCCTTTTCAGATTGGGATACCTTTTTGGAAAGGGTATTTCATCATCTATAAATAGACCAATCCTCCTGCAGTTTTAATCATTCAATCAATTCTCTACATACATACTTTCAAACATATAGAGCATTAGAGTTTCATAAAGAGAAGTTCCTGCATAATTTTGGTTCAAAGTTCCTTGTGAATTGTAGTGCTTCTTTCATAAGGAAGAGAGTCGTTGTATCCTGGGAGGCGAACGCTAGTGAACCATAAGCACCAGTGTAGGGCGTAATTCGTCTTAAGGTCAGAGTGTCCAACACTTGCCTCGACTCAATTAAGGTTCTTTTAATTCCATTCTGTTGTTGTAAAAATCTGTTTTGTTTGTAGTGTTTATTTATTTATTTTATAGCAATTTAGCACTCACATTTCCTACAGCTACAAAGAAAAGAAGAAAAATTCAAAGATACCTTTGACGAGTAGAGAAGAAGCCATCGCCGCCATTGGTTGGGTTGAGAAGAGTAAAGCAGCCACCCAACCCGCCCAGGCCGCCTAACTCCTTGGCGCCTACCACTAACGTTTAGGGTGAACTCACGGCGGTGTTCTCCCACCTAGCGCCTAGTTTTTTTTTTTATTTTGGGGGTGGGAGGTTATTTTTTTTTTTTTTTTTTTTTTTTTTTTTTTTTTGTTTTGGTGGTGAAAGAGATAAGAAAACATGTAAAAAGGGCATGAAAGATAAGAAAAATTAATAAAATAAAAACAAAAAATTATTTTTAATTTTACTCACAACAATCATTTGATATTAAGTTGTCCTTACCAGCCCTTATATGAATCATCGGATTTTTGACTGCCAATGGCCTAATGCATGAAAGCACTTGTGATAATAAGAGTAGAACGGAATGTGTCTGTGCTTAATATGAAGGAGACATAAAGCCAAGGCAGAACCAAGCTGGTGGGTGTTGAGTTTTCTGCATGTTTTTAAAATAAAGCCAACTCACACAATTGCAAGAGTAACAACACCCTATGTATGAGCTAATCATACCAAGAGTGTATTGAATCTGGAAAGAATGGCTTCAAAGGAAAAACACATCAGTTGGCCAGACTGACGGTAAAAAGGGAGTGAAGTGAAGACAAGTGAAAGAGAATGGAGCATCAAGCTAACAAAACCCACATCGTCAAAATTGGATTTATGAACTTGCGTCATATCAAATTTTCTCAATCTTCAATTTCTATGTTGAATGCACAATATTCTGCAGGGGGCATTTGGAGAAATCAAGACATCAGTCGTCCCGAGGTATGCTTATTCAAGAATAGTTCATATGCTTTTTTTTTTAATTTCTTCAAATTGTGTGGATGTTCAGTTTAAACCCCGTCATCTGACACTTACCCTTGTTTTACAGATCGCGACTATCACAATTCCTCCTACTCTTCACGGGAAAAGGATCGCCATAGACATCATTCTTACGCTTGAACTGATCATCAAGTTCATGACATCTCTCTTTTTCTCCTAAACTTCAACGGAACTGAAAATACTTTGGGCTTTGTATGTTGACAGAAAATGTAAAAGTGAGCAACATTGAGACTAGTTAAGGATAAGCATGACTCTTTAACACGTGAGGTGTTTTTATATAAACTTGTCTGTGCAGGAAATGCTAACAATACAAGTTTGGCACTGGAAGCAATCATGCTTTTTGTTATCTTCCTTACAGCTTTCGACTGCTGAGGTGAACGAAAAAATGTCATTTTCTTCAAATTCCAAGCATGCTCGAGCGACATATTTGCAAACTGAATTCCATTAGATCCAATGGAAAGCTCTATGGTTACTTCCTTAAGTTGATGAATAAAAGAAATGTTTTGCAATCTCCAATATCCCATATTAAACCCAGAACACTGCAGGAAAGGCAACAATCAACAAGCAAATCAGTTGAAATTTCCGCACCCAAAAAAAAAACTAATCATGAAAGAGAGGGGGAAAGAAATATAGGCAACACTTTCACTTACATCAGTTTTAGGTTCAAAGAATTCTGGGTCAGACATTATTTCCAAAGTACTCAAATTACACATTTCTTGAAAAGTGGAGACCATTCTTGGGACTAGCATATCACGAAAGCTTCCAACATGATCGAATAGACAAATAACAAACATTCTCTAATAGCAGTGGCATGAAATCTCCATAGAAGACAGCCTACAACTTAATAACACAAACATAAGGAACCGAAAGACAAGAATTACAAATATTAATTAAGAAAAGAACTACCTGCAATATATTTGAGAAAACAAGTCGATGAAATAGTCATTACTAACTAAAAGTTGAAACTATCATGGTTTTTGAAGTACTTGATCTGTCAAAGTACTATTACAAAGTTTCAGACTGACTAAAACAAACAAGAAACATCAACATGAAATTTCATTCTAGCCAGAATAACCAAAATTAATGAAAAATATAACCAAATCTTATTGCCATCAGTTTTCTGAAATTAACTTACCCCTATTGCCATGCTGGGAAAGAATATAACCTAAACAAGACAAAATTGAAAAAACAAAAACCATTGAATAAAAAGAACATCTTGAAGAGTAGTGTCTAGTTACCATGGTGGTCTCTCTGTTTAGAACAAGAGTTTCAACCTTGTTTATACTGCAGAGAACCTCAGACAATATATTAAAGCAACGGCGATTAGATTCCAGAAAAAACTCGGCTTTTTCTAAAGACGTAGATTTCCCCAAACCTTGGCCAATCCATACATCATCCCCTGACAATTTCAAATACTTAAGATTTGGAGCAAAAATATTCACCAAATTCTTGATACAGTTATGAAGATCCAAGTGAACAAGTATGTCTTCAAGTTTTTCAGCTGAGATGCTAAGGATAAGGTCAATATACACAGGGGAATCAAGCACAAAACTAAAAGATTTCAAAGAGGAGCTTTCAATGGTGATCTGATTTATTCCAAAAATATCTTCAAGATGTAACTCCTTGATGCACTTACATGAACATGAGATCCATTTGAAAAACCCCTCATCTTCTATGAAAACATCATCCAACTTCAAGTATTTCAGTCAATCGCAGTGTTTGAAAAATCGGCCTAGGCGGTCGCTAAGCGGGTGGTAGGCGGCTAGGCGGTCGCTAGGCGGCTAGGAGGTCGCTAGGAGGGCGGTAGGCGGCTAGACGGTCGCTAGGCGGGCGATAGGCCGCTAGGCGGTCGCTAGGCGGGCGCTAGGCGGCTAGGCGGTTGCTAGGCGGCTAGGCGGCTAGGCAGTCTCTACGCGTCTAGGCAGTAGCTAGGCCGGAATTAGGCGGCTAGGCGGTCGCTAGGAGGTCGCTAGGCGAGCGGTAGGCGGCTAGGCAGTCGCTAGGAGGGCGGTAGGCATCTAGGCGGTGGCTAGGCGGCCGTAGGCGGCTAGGAGGTGGCTAGGCGGGCCTTTGGCGGCTAGGCAGTAGCTAGGCCGGAGCTAGGCGGCTGGGCGGGCGCCTAGGTGGGTTGACTCTTTTTCCGGTGCCGAACCTGGAGGACGAAGCAGTGACTGCAAGTGCAATTTCCGTCCTCTGCGAGTGCAAGTTTTTGGAATATATTTAAAGCGTATAGCCGTGCGGCTATACCGTAAAAATATTCGAATGTATTTAGAGAGTATAGCCGAACGGCTATACGTTTAAAATATTCAAATATATTTGAAGAGTATAGCCGCTCGACTATACCCTTTAAATATACAATTTTGTCATGCACGTGGGCAACACTAGCATCCATGAGCGGGTCTTACTTATACATCGGGGACTGGTATGACATCTGAGAAGAAGTACGATGCCAAAAAAGCAGCTTGTTGGGGTGCTCTGGATTGGCTAATCGGAAAAGATCGTTCGACTCCACTGGTGGATCTTCTTATGAGAGTAAATAGTGACATGAATGAGAACCTCAGTCGCTCCTTTTTTAAAGCTCTTCAGTCTAATGGCAATTACCTCCGAATTCAGGTAACACAATAAAATTGAGATAAATGGCAAGTGGTCGTTTGTTTGCTTTTATGTTATGTATATGTACACAGAATCAAAATACATTAGCCTAAATTATGTACAACACAAACTAAGCATGGAGTTGGCCAGACCTCAAGCTGTTATGGCCACTGGTCAGGTTCTGTTTCACCATTTCTATTGTAAGAATTTCTTTCTAAAACCATGGTCCGAAATCGAGAGGAATGAATTATTTCTTTTAAATTTTTGCCTTTTAATAATGTGATGCTTTCTTGTAAAAAGTTGCTGCCAGCTGTTTGTGGCTTGCATCAAAACTGGAGGAATGCCCTAAAAAAGCCAGGCAGGTTATCATTGTTTTCCACAGGATGGAATGTAGGAGGGGAACCTACCCATTGAGCTTTTGGATCCATATTCAAAGGTGAGAGCTCGTATAATCCACATCGTACTAAAGTCATTGTCTACTTTCTTTCCAGAAATGTTCGGACTTGAAGATGGGTTTCATTTGTCATCCTCATAAGTTTATATCAAATTATCTTGCCACTCTGGAGACACCACCAGAATGAAACACAAGAAGCCTGGAAACTAGCAAATGACAGGTACTTCCCCCAACAGATGCCAATTACTTATTTACTTTCTTGGCACTTGGTTTTTCCATTTGACTTTGAAACTTTCGAAGGCTGCAGCAGAAGTCAATCCTGAATATGGTGGATCAAAGGGTGTGTTGGCCAAGCTAGCCATTGACAAGCTGAAGGACTCTAAAGAGAGTGATGAAAGTATGCCTATTGAGGGAGAGGCAATAGAAGATTTCAGTATCAAATCCAAGTCTGAACGCAAAATGGAATCTAGTGGCAATAAAAGCTGGGACAGGGACAGGGAGAGAGGTAAGGAGACAGAGACAGGGATAGAATGAAAGTCCGGGGGGGGGGGGGGGGCAGGGATTCTGACCGGAACAAGATCGAGAAGAGGCTGAGAGGGACAGAACCAAGGACCGAGGTTAAGAATAGTTCATATGCTTCTTTTCTTTTTTTCCTTTAATATTCACTAAGTAAATAATCACTAAAGGGTTTAGTTAATTACAAATCAAAGTAATTAAAAAAGTGAAATACATATTATGCTACTTAGAGGGTGTAGCCTACCTTTTCATAAAAATAAGAAGAAGAAAAAAAAATTAAAAACTGAGTATAGCCGTGCGGCTATACTATTTTTAAATATAAAAAGGAGGACCCCAACATTTAGGCGCCACGTGTCAATATAAGTCTACTATTAAAAAAAATTAAAATACACAGCGTATAGCCGTGTGGCTGCACGCTTTTTTGTTTTTTTAAAAAAGGACCCTCCAGCGATTAGGAGCCACATGTCCAAAAAAAGTATAGCTGACTGGCTATACTATTTTTCAAAAAGAAAAGCATAGTACAGCCACAGCTATACTATTTAGATACACTATATTTAAAAGGGCTACACTATTTAATAAATAAATAAAAGAAAAAAGGACCCTCCAAGTTGCATTAGTTTGTACTTTATAGATATTAATTTGCTAGTTTAAATATATCCAAAGTAGATATTAATCGGCCATTATACAATATTTTAATATAATTTCTGTAACGTATATTATTCTTATTCAATAATATGTGAGAATTATTTGTATAATACTTGAACTTTTTGTGTCTTAATGAAAATTTTGTAAAAAGTATGTGTATTAAGCATTAGAAATATGTACGAACATGTACAATACGACTATTAAAGTAATTCAAAAGTGATAAGATATTACTTAATTACATATATTAAATTAAGGAAGTAGGCCAAAAGAAAAAGTAAAGAAACTAATTTTATATTTTTAAAATTAAAAATTAAAAAAAAAATACATGAACACTTCTCCCGACGAAATTTTGTCGGCATAGATCTATGCCGGCAAAATTTGTCAGATTAGGTTTTCCCCGACGAAAATAACTGCGCCGACGAAATTTCGTCGGGAGAGGTCTTATTTTTTAAAAATAAATATAAATTTAGGATGTTTAGGTTAATTAATTTTTAAAATTTTTATTTTTAGTAACTACATAATATATTTGCCTGATTTAATTAGTTAAATTAGCAATTATATTTTAATTATTATTTATTTAATGACTAATTATGATTAAATACTTTAATTAACTTCATGAATTATATTACTTAATAAATAGTAATTCAATTTTTCTTTTTCTTTTTTTCCTTTAATATTCACTAAGTAAATAATCACTAAAGGGTTTAGTTAATTACAAATCAAAGTAATTAAAAAAGTGAAATACATATTATGCTACTTAAAGGGTGTAGCCTACCTTTTCATAAAAATAAGATGGAAAAAAATAATAATAAAAACTGATTATAGCCGTGCGGCTATTCTATTTTTAAATATAAAAAGGAGGCTCCCAATGTTTAGGCGCCACGTGTCAATACAAGTCTACTTTTAAAAAAAATTAAAAAACACAGAGTATAGCCGTGCGGCGGCACCACATGTCCAAAAAAAGTATAGCTGACTGGCTATACTATTTTTCAAAAAGAAAAACATAGTACAGCCGCACGGCAATACTATTTAAATACACTATATTTAAAAGGGCTGCACTATTTAATAAATAAATAAAATAAAAAAGGACCCACCAAGTTACATTAGTTTGTACTTTATAGATATTAATTTGCTAGTTTAAATATATCCAAAGTAGATATTAATCAGCCACTGTGCAATATTTTAATATAATTTCTGTAATGTATATTATTCTTATTCAATAATATGTGAGAATTATTTGTATAATATGTGAACTTTGTGTGTCTTAATGAAAATTTTGTAAAAAGTATGTGTATTAAGCATTGGAAACACGTACAAACATGTACAATACAACTATTAAAGTAATTCAAAAAGGATAAGATATTACTTAATTACATATATTAAATTAAGGAAGTTGGCCAAAAGAAAAAGTAAAGAAACTAATATTATATTTTTAAAATTTAAAATTTTAAAAAAACATGAACACTTCTCCTGATGAAAGTTCGTCGGCATAGATCTATGCCGGCAAAATTTGCCGGATTAGGTTTTCCCCGACGAAATTTCGTCGGGAGAGGTCTTATTTTTTAAAAATAAATATAAACTTAGGATGTTTAGGTTAATTAATTTTAAAAAATTTTATTTTTAGTAACTGCATAATATATTTGCCTGATTTAATTAGTTAAATTAGCAATTATATTTTAATTATTATTTATTTAATGACTAATTATGATTAAATACTTTAATTAACTTCATGAATTATATTACTTAATAAATAGTAATTCAATTCTTTTTTTCCTTTAATTTTCACTAAGTAAATAATCACTAAAGGGTTTAGTTAATTACTAATCAAAGTAATTAAAAAAGTGAAATACATATTATGCTACTTAAAGGGTGTAGCCTACCTTTTCATAAAAATAAGAAGGAAAAAAATTAAAAACTGAGTATAGCCGTGCGGCTATACTATTTTTAAATATAAAAATGAAGACCCCAACGTTTAGGTACAGCCAGATTTCCTACATGTTATCTCTGATTCTCTGCTGGTTCCGTATAAATTCACTAATATATTGATATGAATGGCAATATGCTGAACATTGATATTTAAGTTTTGATGTTCTTCCAATAATAGGAAAAGGAATGACGCTTACAGCGTTCCCACAACCTTTTGAGTATTTGTTATATTCTGTGTCCGTTGAATGATACGTGCCAATCCAAAATATGAAAATTTTGGGTTCATTTGCATCCAAGAGAATATTACTGACCCTTCAAATCTCTATGAATTACTTTCAAATAAGACTCATGGTGGAGATAAAGAAGCCCTCTAGCAATACCCTGAATAATATTGAAGCGTCTGCCCCAATCAAGCTCAGGTCTCCGCGCTGGATCTTTTAAATGCAAGCATTCGAAATATAACCAATAGTTTCATTCATATATCCTATCCTATGCATTGACCATGACACTGTCACTAGATTTTTACGTTTAAATTTCTATAGAAAATACTGACGCATTTGTATGAACAATAGTGAAACAAGGGTGTAATCAGATTCAAAATTGATTTCAGGCCTAGTTTAACATTGTCTCTTCTACTTTATAAAGAACTGAAACGTACTCATGTAGTGTACAATCCAGTTTACAGTTATGTGCATTAAATCTGCAGGATGTCTTGCTTGACTGTTTGTGTTGCAAATAAATCAGTGATTCTTTGTATCAATCGAAAATAATTTTGATTCTTTGTGCCCGAACATTTAGTTCATGTGAATTCATTTGTGGCCTTAAGTTATTAGGCAAATTATGAAGATAAAGTCCAGTGAAATTAACCAAATAGAAGAGTGTCCAAGCTTCCGTTTGGCATGAACTCGTAAATCAGTATCTTCTCATCTTCTTTGACGCAGCAGCCCATGATCCTAGCAAGAGTTCTATGTTGGAGCTTGGAGATCAACAACGCATCATTTTTTTAACTCTTCTATGCCTTGCCCTGAGCTACTAGATAGTCCTTGTACTGCTATTTCCTTCCCTTCTCGTAGGGTACCTACAAATTAATCACTTCATTCATGTCCTTATCTGTTATTGTAGCTGTGTTGATATTGTTCATTGCGATCAATATGCTATCAAAATTATAGATGAATAGCTCAGATGGATCTTGGTTTATGATATATTCTTGAATATTGTCTCTTGAATTCTCCGTAGTATCAATACTCAGCATTCGCGATATACCTGAAATTTTGTGTATTGAATATTTATTTGTTATTTGTTACTTATTAGTGGTTACTTCAGTGATTTCATAACGAAAAATCCATTTAATGTTGTATTTTCTGAAGCCCAGGCCCTTCTCTCTTGCCCAGGCCCTTTTATAAACCCTAAACATAACACGCAACCTCTCGTCTTCTTCAATCTCATCGTCGTCTCTCTGTCTCTCGCCTCATATCACCATCGTCATCTCATCCCAGACATTGGAGTTCCAAAATGGCCTTTTCTTTCTTCTAGGCGCCAGCGCCCGCCTAGACTGCCTAGACCGCCTAGCCCCCGCCTAGCCCGCCTAGGCCATTTATTCAGATATGAGTGACAGTGTGTTCAAGGATTTAACTTTTAAAGAAGATTTCCGAGAATTGGAAAAGAAAGAGATGATGCTTACATTGTTCCTACAACCTTGTGAGTATTTGCTAGACTCTGCGTGCCTTAAACGATACGCGCCAATCCAAAATCTGAAAGTTTTGGGTTCATGTTCTCATCCAAGAGAATGTTACTGACCTTCAAATCTCTATGTATTACCTTCAAACGGGAATCATGGTGGAGATAAAGAAGTATGTTACATAGGCTTAATTATTTGAATCTGTCAAATGATATGAGTACATATGCTATGACTATTAGAAGTATATTACATTTTCTACAGAATATACACTCCCAACAATCTTATTAGATATTCTTCTGTGTTCTGGGTGGTACAGCAACAAAAGCTTTAGTGAAAGGCATATAAACATGGAAGAAAGAGACAATAATGAAGAAGGCAAGAATTTCACACAACTATCCAGATCCCCTGGGCTATCAATGAGTCTGTTACCAACGTACTAACAAGGAATTTGAGGTTTCACATGACTTTCAGGAAGCAGAAAAGCAGTTGGAATTGGAGTCCATCCCCTCTGTTCCAAGTTCTTGGTTATCTGCAATTTTGAAGTTGTTTCAGATTCTGTCTTACTGAATTTGTGAACTCTATCCAGGCACCTATATCACACAACATTTACTGGAAGGAGTTATCGATGCTTGTGTATGTCTCGGTGGCTTTTCTTATTGTTCACATTGTTAAGGTAAGTTATTTTACTATGTAGTTTTGTATAACTAAATACGCTTTTCAAAAGATAAAGATCATCACTAGAAATGTTGTCAAGTTCGATCTTTCTAATTCCTCTGCATTTGCAGGGGAAGCACTATTGCTATGGTCACACATCACAACAAAAGCAAGATAACTCAAATGAATGCCCTAAGAACCATGAAATGAAATTATAAAGCTGTCCGGAGGACTACAAGCTGATTATGGTTGCACTTGGATTGAAATTAAGCTTTAGAATTTGGTATTCTAATTTTTTTTTAAAGAAATAGTATAGCCGAACGGCTATACTCGATTTTTCACATTTAATTAAAACAAATTGTATAGCCGAACGGCTATACTCCGTTTTTTCTATTGGTTTTTAAAATTTTTAAAAACGAAATAGTATAGCCGGCCGGCTATACCCGGTTTTTAATTTTATTCAGAAGAAATAGTATAGCCGGACGGCTATACTGGATTTTATAAATTTATTTAAAATAAATTGTATAGACGAACGGCTATACTCCGTTTTTTCTATTGGTTTTCTAATTTTTTTAAAAAGAAATAGTATAGCCGGCCCGCTATACTCGGTTTTTTAATTTTTTCAGAAGAAATCGTATAACCGTACTGCTGTACTCGGTTTTTTATTTTTTTAAAAAAGAAATAGTATAGCCGTACGGCTATACTTGGTCTTTATTGTAAACGTTAAAAACAAGTATATAAAAAAAATTTAAATTAAGTAGAAAAAGATAAGTTACAAATGAACAACAATTCATCAAAACCGTTCACTCTGTTCTTAAGTAAATTATTGTCCCCAAAAAATCCATCATGTGCACTAATATTGGATTGTCCATGGAATTGATTTAACATATTTCCAGGGAAAGAATTTCTGAGTTGGGTGGCAATCAAAACAGCCAAACAGGCTAGCAACAAAAAGCAGCTACTTAAAAAATCAAAAACCATAAGCTTCATGTAATCTACCAAATTATGTGGCTCTTAAAATATTGGTGGAACCTCTACGCAGTTTACTTTTGACTTCAAAAAAAAGCACATATGGTCTAGGATTGTCAATCAGTACACAGTTGAGTTAAACAAAAACAACACGTACACTTATATTCAAACAAAACCTCGAACAGTATAGGGATGACAGTTGATCTGATTGAGCTCTCTGGAAGTTTGGGTTGACAACCCTTGACGACCCTTCATCTGGTGAGCTGTTCAGATTATGATTATCTTCCTCTTTCTCTATCCTCCAAAAAGACAAGTTTGGCACTGGAAGCAATCATGCTTTTTGTTATCTTCCTTACAGCTTTCGACTGCTGAGGTGAATGAAAAAAATGTCATTTTCTTCAAATTCCGAGCATGCTCGAGCACATATTTTTCAAACCGAATTCCATTAGATCCAATGGAAAGCTCCTCTATGGTTACATCCTTAAGTTGATGAATAAAAGAAATGTTTTGCAATCTCCAATATCCCATATTAAACCCAGAACACTGCAGGAAAGGCAACAATCAACAAGCAAATCAGTTGAAATTTCCGCACCCAAAAAAAAACTAATCATGAAAGAGAGGGGGAAAGAAATGGGGGCAACACTTTCACTTACATCAGTTTTAGGTTCAAAGAATTCTGGGTCAGACATTATTTCCAAAGTACTCAAATTACACATTCCTTGAGAAGTGGAGACTAGCATAACACGAAATTAAAGCTTCCAACATGAATAGACAAATAACAAACATTCTCTAATAGCAGTGCCATGAAATCTCCATAGAAGACAGCCTACAAGTTATAAACACAAACATAAGGAACCGAAAGACAAGAATTACAAATATTAATTAAGAAAAGAACTACCTGCAATATATTTGAGAAAATAAGTCGATGAAATAGTCATTACTAACTAAAAGTTGAAACTATCATGGTTTTTGAAGTACTTGATCTGTCAAAGTACTATTACAAAGTTTCAGACTGACAATTCTAAAACAAACAAGAAACATCAACATGAAATTTCATTCTAGCCAGTATAACCAAAATTAATGAAAAATATAACCAAATCTTATTGCCATCAGTTTTCTGAAATTAACTTACCCCGATTGCCATGACGGGAAAGAACAACCTAAACAAGACAAAATTGAAAAAAACAAAACCTTGAATAAAAAGAACATCTTGAAGAGCTAGTGTCTAATTACCATGGCGGTCTCTCCCCTATTGCCATGCAGAGAACCTCATACAATATTTTAAAGCAACGGCGATTACATTCCAGAAAAAAACTCGGCTTTCTCTAAAGACGTAGATTTCCCCAAAATTTGGCCAATCCCCTGACAATTTCAAATACTTAAGATTTGGATAAAAAATATTGACCAAATTCTTGACACAGTTATGAAGATCCAAGTGAACAAGTATGTCTTCAAGTTTTTCAGCTGAGATGCTAAGGATAAGGTCAATATACACAGGGGAATCAAGCACAAAACTAAAAGATTTCAAAGAGGAGCTTTCAATGGTGATCTGATTTATTCCAAAAATATCTTCAAGATGTAACTCCTTGATGCACTTACATGAACATGAGATCCATTTGAAAAACCCATCATCTTCTATGAAAACATCATCCAACTTCTGGTGTTTGAAAAATCGGCCTACGCGGGCGGCGAGGCGGCTAGGCGGTCGCTAGGCGGCTAGGCGTGGCTAGGCGGCTAGGCGGTGGCTAGGCGTCTAGGCCGTAGCTAGGGCGGAGCTAGGCGGCTGGGCGGGCGCCTAGGACGGTTGGCTCTTTTTCCGGTGCCAAACCTGGAGGACGAAGCAGTGACTGCGAGTGCAAGTTCCGTTCTCTGCGAGTGCAAGCTTTTGGAATATTTAAAGAGTATAGCTGACGGCTATACTAATTTGTAAAGAAACAAAAAACCCGGGTATCGCCGGGCGGCTTTACTATTTATTTATTTAAGAAGAAAACTCGCCGAGCAATGGTGTCGAAAATCGTATAGCCGGTCGGCTATACTATTTTTAGAATCACCGAGTATAGCCGCACGGCTGTACTATTTATAAAAAAAAACCCCGTCTGTCGTTGAGGCGTCCACGTGTCCGCATGGGCATAGCCGCCCGGCTATACTATTAACTGAGTATAGCCGACCGGCTATACCTTTAAAATATTCTATTTATAGAGTATACACGTACGTATTTTTCAATCATTTGAGTCTGGGGCGCCAAGAAGGGAGGTAAGGCTCTATTTTGATGATTTCGACTTTTGTTTTTGAAATTTCGGAACTTTCTCAGTTTTCTTTGAGATTCAATTTGATTGAATTTGGGAAATTTCACTTTGTGTAGAAGTTAGTTTGGGTTTCTACGATGATATACACGGCGATAGACACGTTCTATCTGACCGATGAGCAATTGCAGAACTCGCCGTCGAGAAAGGACGGCATGTATGAGGCGACAAGCGTCTATGGCTGTCAAGGATTTATCCAAGAAAGCTGAATTTTGCTCAGATTGTACGGTTGAGTTCTGGTTTGTTTTAAGTTGTATAGTTTGTTGTTGTTCTTTTCTTTGAGGGTGAATTTTGTTAACTTTGTTTGCTTCATTTGATCACTTGCATGCAGACCTCAAGTTGATCAGGTTCTGTTTCACCGATTCTATTGTAAGAAGTTCTTTCTAAAACCATGGTCCGAAATCGAGAGGAATGAATGATTTCTTTTAAATTTTTGCCTGTTAATAATGTGATGCTTTCTTGTAGAAAAAGTTGCTGCTGGCTGTTTGTGGCTTGCATCAAAACCGGAGGAATGCCCTAAAAAATCCAGGCAGGTTATCATTGTTTCCCACAGGATGGAATGTAGGAGGGAGAACCTACCCATTGAGCCTTTGGATCCATATTCAAAGGTTAGAGCTCATATAATCCACATCGTGCTAAAGTCATTGTCTTCCATTATCATGATTTTGAGCCAAAAGCATGCTATGGTTTATCTCTGTCTTCTTTCTTTCCAGAAATCTTAGGACTTGAAGATGGAGTTGAGTAAAGCAGAAAGACATATTTTAAAGGAGGATGGGTTTCATTTGTCATGTTGAGCATCCACATAAGTTTATATCAAATTATCTTGCACACTGGAGACACCACCAGAATTAACACAAGAAGCCTGGAAACTAGCAAGTGAAAGGTACTTCCCCCAACATATGCCAATTACTTATTTACTTTCTTGGCACTTGGTTTTTCTATTTGACTTTCAAACTTTCGAACTTTACATTATTGTTTAATTATTGGGAATTTTTTGTTTTACTGGTGGATCAAAGGGCGTGTTGCGGTGTAGTTTATGCTGCCGCTTGGAGGTTTCAAGTGCCCCTTCCTGAGAATCCGCCATGGTGGAAGGCATTTGATGCTGAGAAATCAGGGATTGACGAAGTTTGTAGGGTGCTGGCTCATCTGTACAGCCTTCCTAAAGCAAAGTACGTACCAGTCTGTAAGGATGGAGATTCTTTTACATTTTCTAACAAGTCATGTAATTCACAGCCTCGGCCAATTCCAAAGGTAGTTCCGATTCTTCTTCTTCTTTTTTTCTCTCTCTAATTCCTGCCCCGATCCTAATAATAGCCCATCAGCTATTGAAAATACCTCTAATTCAAAGGCTGCAGCAGAAGTCAATCCTGAATCTGGTGGATCAAAGGGTGTGTTGGCCAAGCTAGCCATTGATAAGCTGAAGGACTCTAAAGAGAGTGATGAAAGTATGCCTATCGAGGGAGAGGCAATAGAAGATTTCAGTATCAAATCCAAGTCTGAACGCAAAATGGAATCTAGTGGCAATAAAAGCAGGGACAGGGACAGGGAGAGAGATAAGGAGAGGGAAAGGGAGAGAGACAGAGACAGAGACAGAGACAGAGACAGAGAAAAAGACAGAGACAGGGTATGCTTATTCAAGAATAGTTCATGTGCCTTTTCTTTTTCTTTTTTCCTGAAATTGTGTGGATGTTCAGTTTAAATCCCGTCATCTGACACTTACCCTTGTTTTACAGATCGCGACTATAACAATTCCTCCTACTCTTCACGGGAAAAGGATCGCCATAGACATCATTCTTACGCTTGAACTGATCATCAAGTTCATGACATCTCTCTTCTTCTCCTAAACTTCAACGGAACTGAAAATACTTTGGGCTTTGTATGTTGACAGAAAATGTAAAAGTGAGCAACATTGAGACTAGTTAAGGATAAGCATGACTCTTTAACACGTGAGGTGTTTTTATATAAACTTGTCTGTGCAGGAAATGCTAACAATACAAGTTTGGCACTGGAAGCAATCATGCTTTTTGTTATCTTCCTTACAGCTTTCGATTGCTGAGGTGAACGAAAAAATGTCATTTTCTTCAAATTCCAAGCATGCTCGAGCGACATATTTGCAAACTGAATTCCATTAGATCCAATGGAAAGCTCTATGGTTACTTCCTTAAGTTGATGAATAAAAGAAATGTTTTGCAATCTCCAATATCCCATATTAAACCCAGAACACTGCAGGAAAGGCAACAATCAACAAGCAAATCAGTTGAAATTTCCGCACCCAAAAAAAAAAACTAATCATGAAAGAGAGGGGGAAAGAAATATAGGCAACACTTTCACTTACATCAGTTTTAGGTTCAAAGAATTCTGGGTCAGACATTATTTCCAAAGTACTCAAATTAAACATTTCTTGAAAAGTGGAGACCATTCTTGGGACTAGCATATCACGAAAGCTTCCAACATGATCGAATAGACAAATAACAAACATTCTCTAATAGCAGTGGCATGAAATCTCCATAGAAGACAGCCTACAACTTAATAACACAAACATAAGGAACCGAAAGACAAGAATTACAAATATTAATTAAGAAAAGAACTACCTGCAATATATTTGAGAAAACAAGTCGATGAAATAGTCATTACTAACTAAAAGTTGAAACTATCATGGTTTTTGAAGTACTTGATCTGTCAAAGTACTATTACAAAGTTTCAGACTGACTAAAACAAACAAGAAACATCAACATGAAATTTCATTCTAGCCAGAATAACCAAAATTAATGAAAAATATAACCAAATCTTATTGCCATCAGTTTTCTGAAATTAACTTACCCCTATTGCCATGCTGGGAAAGAATATAACCTAAACAAGACAAAATTGAAAAAACAAAAACCATTGAATAAAAAGAACATCTTGAAGAGTAGTGTCTAGTTACCATCGTGGTCTCTCTGTTTAGAACAAGAGTTTCAACCTTGTTTATACTGCAGAGAACCTCAGACGATATATTAAAGCAACGGCGATTAGATTCCAGAAAAAACTCGGCTTTCTCTAAAGACGTAGATTTCCCCAAACCTTGGCCAATCCATACATCATCCCCTGACAATTTCAAATACTTAAGATTTGGAGCAAAAATATTCACCAAATTCTTGATACAGTTATGAAGATCCAAGTGAACAAGTATGTCTTCAAGTTTTTCAGCTGAGATGCTAAGGATAAGGTCAATATACACAGGGGAATCAAGCACAAAACTAAAAGATTTCAAAGAGGAGCTTTCAATGGTGATCTGATTTATTCCAAAAATATCTTCAAGATGTAACTCCTTGATGCACTTACATGAACATGAGATCCATTTGAAAAACCCCTCATCTTCTATGAAAACATCATCCAACTTCAAGTATTTCAGTCAATCGCTGTGTTTGAAAAATCGGCCTAGGCGGTCGCTAAGCGGGTGGTAGGCGGCTAGGCGGTCGCTAGGCGGCTAGGAGGTCGCTAGGCGGCTAGGAGGTCGCTAGGAGGGCGGTAGGCGGCTAGACGGTCGCTAGGCGGGCGATAGGCCGCTAGGCGGTCGCTAGGCGGGCGCTAGGCGGCTAGGCGGTTGCTAGGCGGCTAGGCGGCTAGGCAGTCTCTACGCGTCTAGGCAGTAGCTAGGCCGGAATTAGGCGGCTAGGCGGTCGCTAGGAGGTCGCTAGGCGAGCGGTAGGCGGCTAGGCAGTCGCTAGGAGGGCGGTAGGCATCTAGGCGGTGGCTAGGCGGGCCTTAGGCGGCTAGGCAGTAGCTAGGCCGGAGCTAGGCGGCTGGGCGGGCGCCTAGGTGGGTTGACTCTTTTTCCGGTGCCGAACCTGGAGGACGAAGCAGTGACTGCAAGTGCAATTTCCGTCCTATGCGAGTGCAAGTTTTTGGAATATATTTAAAGCGTATAGCCGTGCGGCTATACCGTAAAAATATTCGAATGTATTTAGAGAGTATAGCCGAACGGCTATACGTTTAAAATATTCAAATATATTTGAAGAGTATAGCCGCTCGACTATACCCTTTAAATATACAATTTTGTCATGCAAGTGGGCAACACTAGCATCCATGAGCGGGTCTTACTTATACATCGGGGATTGGTATGACATCTGAGAAGAAGTACGATGCCAAAAAAGCAGCTTGTTGGGGTGCTCTGGATTGGCTAATCGGAAAAGATCGTTCGACTCCACTGGTGGATCTTCTTATGAGAGTAAATAGTGACATGAATGAGAACCTCAGTCGCTCCTTTTTTAAAGCTCTTCAGTCTAATGGCAATTACCTCCGAATTCAGGTAACACAATAAAATTGAGATAAATGGCAAGTGGTCGTTTGTTTGCTTTTATGTTATGTATATGTACACATAATCAAAATACATTAGCCTAAATTATGTACAACACAAACTAAGCATGGAGTTGGCCAGACCTCAAGCTGTTATGGCCACTGGTCAGGTTCTGTTTCACCATTTCTATTGTAAGAATTTCTTTCTAAAACCATGGTCCGAGAGGAATGAATGATTTCTTTTAAATTTTTGCCTTTTAATAATGTGATGCTTTCTTGTAAAAAGTTGCTGCCAGCTGTTTGTGGCTTGCATCAAAACTGGAGGAATGCCCTAAAAAAGCCAGGCAGGTTATCATTGTTTTCCACAGGATGGAATGTAGGAGGGGAACCTACCCATTGAGCCTTTGGATCCATATTCAAAGGTTAGAGCTCATATATGATCATTATTTAATTTTTTACCCTTTCTTTTTTGGGGGTAGGCTGTGGTTGGTATAACCGAATCGGAAATGGACATGCACGAGGGCAACACTGGCATCCATGAGCGGGTCTTACTTATATCACTGGGGACTGGTATGACATCTGAGAAGAAGTACGATGCCAAAAAAGCAGCTTGTTGGGGTGCTCTGGATTGGCTGATCGGAAAAGATCGTTCGGCTCCACTGGTGGATCTTCTTATGAGAGTAAATAGTGACATGAATGAGTACCTCAGTGGTTCCTTTTTTAAAGCTCTTCAGCCTAATAGCAATTACCTCCGAATTCAGGTAACACAATAAAATTGAGATAAATGTCAAGTGGTCGTTTGTTTGTTTTTATGTTATGTATATGTACACAGAATCAAAATACACGCGCCTAAATTATGTACAAGACAAACTAAGCATGGAATTGGAAATGAATGCAGGACGATACACTAAGTGGAACATTGGCTTCTGTGGATATTGCCACAGAAGAAAACTTGAATGATCTTGTAAAAGTTGGAGAGGCATTGTTGAAGAAACCCGTTTCGAGATTGAATTTTGGTACCGGTAAACTCGAGCCTGTTCATCCTGAGGTTACAAATGAAGAGGCTCTCGCGAGGTACAAATTTTCTAATTTATTCTCATTATTAAGTTGTGTAAATTCAATAGATTATCATACTGATTACTTTTGTTTTGTCCATTAATTTGCATGATCTTGTAGGATGGCGAAAATTCTCTCTAAGGAGAGGGCTCGGAGGCAGAGGGTGGTCGTTCACGAAAATGCTGCTCTGCTCTCACATAAGTCCTTGTAGTTATGTTTTTCATTAAGAGAAATAAATAGCTCAATAATTTTTATTTTTATTTCATGTAATTCAGTTCTGAAACTAATTTCTCCCAATTTTATGTATATATTTGTAACTGGGAAATTATTCAATTTATTCATGACGTGGCCAATGAAAGCAGCTTGAGTTGTTTTAAGTCTTCTTCTTCATTATGTTGTTGGAGTTTGTGTGCACTGATAAAGCACTATGAAATTAAAAACGAAAACAAAACAAAAGCACTTTGAAATTAATCCTTAGCAACATGTTTGATAATGAACAGATTCTTGAGATTGAACTACTGCATCTGTAAAGAAGAACGAACCTATGATGTAGATGGTTGGCTTGCTGCATGGAAGGCGAGTGGCTTCATGTCATGGGACGCATGTAACTTAAAAACTCTCCAGGCAGCTCTTCCAAAAGACCTTGAACAACAGAAATTAATATGCCCACCTGTTACATTAATCGCACAGCTATACGCCTTCAAATAATATATTTAAATAGTATGACTGTGAGACTATAATATATGTGGAATTATTATCCCCATAATCTTGATTTATGAGGCTTAGCGTACCCAATGCATCCACTTATTCAAGCTGTTTAGGATCATGATCTGTTACTCATTTTTGTATTGTTCTCCTATCATTGGCCATCTTTAATTGTAATAATCATGTGTAAATTGAAATACTCTAATTAAGTAATAATTATATATGAATACTCGAATTGGGTTATATTAGTTATTGAATTTGAAGTTTTGTATCATGTTGAGCTTTAAGATGGTTTGGTATTCTAGAAAATGAGTTAAGTATGGAGCAAGTTGTGAATTTGTTTTTTGCACTTCAGCTAACAATGTTGAAAAAATTGCAAAAGAAAAGAGAATTGGACTTAGGCTCAAACTGGCCAAATCAAACAGTCTTTAATTGGTTTAGTTTGGTTTTCTCTGTGACTTTTGTTAAAATCGAAGAATTCTAAATTATTATATTGTAATTGATTTAGCGCGATTTTAAAGTGAAATCAATCCAATTCAGACCATACCCACCCCTATATAGAAGTTCAAACCTGAAATCTAAGGTCCTTTTTTTATTCCTACTTTTTTTTTGACGAACTTGACTAGACTCCTTTTCTTTTTTGTTTTTCCTATTTTCGTTTTTCTTTTTGGTAGTGAGAAATGATGGTTTATTAAGGCCACGTGGATAGCATAGAATCATGGTCCAGCTTCCAAGCTTGCACTGGTGCTGCATCCAAGCGCATTTCCCTTTGGCCCCTTTCAACCAAATTCCCCTAAATCCCAAAGGAGCCTCCTTTGACATTTCTCAGGCCCAGTTTTTTACTTCCATTTCTATCACACCCTTCCCTTTCTATGCTCCAAGTCTTTAATCATCCACCTGTTTTATCATTATTTCCAGAAGGCCCCAAAATTTAGGGTTTTCATCACACCCTGCACTTCCTCTTCTGGTAAGCTCTTTCTTCTCTCTCCTCAAAGCTAAGAGTTAAATTCTTTCTCCCAATACTGTGTTTCTGGCAAGTTGGTAACAAATAACTTTCATGTACTAGTAAATTAGTAATCAATTCAACAAATGTTAGTGTGCTTATAATCTTGGTTGTGGGGTTTTTGGTTTAAAGTCATGATCTTGGACTTAGAATTCAGGGTTTCCGGGAAAAAGGGACTTACTTAAGTTAGATTGCTCATTAAATGATCATCGGGGTTGGATTTGTTGACTTTCTTTAAACTGTTTTCCGTTGATTCGGCGTGAAATACACTGATTTTGGCGACGTGTTGATGTAAAGTTGGGCTCAGATGATAACCCACATGCTCTTTTATGATCATTTCGATACTGTAATATTTTATGTCAATATTTTTTATCAGTAATTTTTATGTGAATGCTGATGTGCTGCTTCCATTATTGTTTTGAACTGGGTTTTTGCATTGTTTTCATGCCTGCATATGTTCGCAAAGCAGGTTCTTTGGGGCGATGGTTTTTCGATGTATATGCACACAAGCTGTAGAAAGTAGCTAAGTTGTCTACATTCAAGCACACACACGATGAGCCAGTGCTATAATTTTGAAATCTTTTTATGGTTTTTTGGATATATATGCACACAAGCTGTAGAAAGTAGCTATAAGTTGTCTAAAGTCAAGCACACACACGATGAACTAGTGCTATAATGGTGAAATCTTTTTCTGCACCAGCTTTATGAATGCATTTTGAAATGGCTTTTAGGTACATCTTATTAGATTGTAGTAAATTTAGTAGATAGTTTTGGCAACTTAGCATAATTGTATACCGGTTTTTAATTGCTTTTATTCGAACGTTTGAAGTTCCTTGTGATGGTGAGGACAAAGCTTATCTTAATCTGCCAGTCTGGTGGTGAATTCGTCATAAAGGATCATGGATCCATGTCATATACGGGTGGAGAGGCACATGCAGTAGATATCAATCTTGAAACCATATTTGATGATCTCTCAAGTTTAAATCAGTATCTTCTCATCTTCTTTGACGCAACAGCCCATGATCCTAGCAAGAGTTCTATGTTGGAGCTTGGAGATCAACAACGTCTCATTTTTTAACACTTCTATGCCTTGCCCTGAGCTACTAGATAGTCCTTGTACTGCTATTTCCTTCCCTTCTCGTAGGGTACCTACAAATTAATCACTTCATTCATGTCTTTATGTCCTTATCTGTTATTGTAACTGTGTTGATATTGTTCATTGCGATCAATATGCTATCCAAATTATAGATGAATAGCTCCGATGGATCCTGGTTTATGATATATTCTTGAAGAGTGTCTCTTGAATTCTCCGTAGTATCAATACTCAGCATTCGCGATATACCTGAAATTTTGTGTATTGAATATTTATTTGTTATTTGTTACTTATTAGTGGTTACTTTAGTGATTTCATAATGCAAAATCCATTTAATGTTGTATTTTCTGAAGCCCAGGCCCTTCTCTCTTGCCCAGGCCCTTTTATAAACCCTAAACATAACACACAACCTCTCGTATTCTTCAATCTCAGCGTCGTCTCTCTCTCTCGCCTCATATCACCATCGTCATCTCGTCCCAGACCTTGGAGTTCCAAAATGGCCTTTTCTTTCTTCTAGGCGCCAGCGCCTGCCTAGCCCCCCGCCTAGGCCATTTATTCAGATATGAGTGACAGTGTGTTCAAGGATTTAACTTTTAAAGAAGATTTCCGAGAATTGGAAAAGAAAGAGATGATGCTTACATTGTTCCTACAACCTTGTGAGTATTTGCTAGACTCTGCGTGCCTTAAACGATACGTGCCAATCCAAAATCTGAAAGTTTTGGGTTCATGTTCTCATCCAAGAGAATGTTACTGACCTTCAAATCTCTATGTATTACCTTCAAACAGGAATCATGGTGGAGATAAAGAAGTATGTTACACAGGCTTAATTATTTGAATCTGTCAAATGATGAGTACATATGCTATGACTATTAGAAGTATATTACATTTTCTACAGAATATACACTACCAACAATCTTATTATATATTCTTCTGAGTTCTGGGTGGTACAGCAACAAAAGCTTTAATGAAAGGCATATAAACATGGAAGAAAGAGACAATGATGAAGAATGTAAGAATTTCACACAACTATCCGGATCCCCTGGGCTATCAATGAGTCTGTTACCAACGTACTAACAAGGAATTTGAGATTTCACGTGACTTTCAGGAAGCAGAAAAGCAGTCGGAATTGGAGTCCAAACGTGGCGGTGAGTGTATATATAGACCAAGTTTAGAGATTATGCACTAATATGAACTAAAAGAAAACTCTAAAGCGCACATCCCCTCTGTTGCAGATGGTTTCATTGCAAGATGAGCAGGTCAGTTCCAAGTTCTTGGTTATCTGCAATTTTGAAGTTGTTTCAGATTCTGTCTTATTGAATTTGTGAACTCTATCCAGGCACCTATATCACACAACATTTACTGGAAGGAGTTATTGATGCTTGTGTATGTCTCAGTGGCTTTTCTTATTGTTCACATTATTAAGGTAAGTTATTTTACTATGTAGTTTTGTATAACTAAATACGCTTTTCAAAAGATAAGATCATCACTAGAAATGTTGTCAAGTTCGATCTTTCTAATTCCTCTGCATTTGCATGGGAAGCACTATTGCTATGGTCACACATCACAACAAAAGCAAGATAACTCAAATGAATGCCCTAAGAACCATGAAATGAAATTATAAAGCTGTCCGGAGGACTGTAAGCTGATTATGGTTGCACTTGGATTGAAATTAAGCTTTAGAATTGGGTTTCCAAGTTTTTATAAAAAGAAATAGTATAGCCGTACGGCTATACTCGATTTTCTCCGTTTTTCTATTGGTTTTTTAATTTTTTAAAAAATAAATAGTATAGCCGGCCCGCTATACCCGCTTTTTAAATATTTTTCAGAAGAAATCGTATAGCCGTACGGCTTTACTCGATTATTTAATTTTTTTTTAAAGAAATAGTATAGCCGTACGGCTATACTCGATCTTTATTGTAAACGTTAAGAACAAGTATATAAAAAAATGTAAAATAAGTAGAAAAAGATAAGTTACAAATGAACAACTATTCATCAAAACCATTCACTCTGTTCTTAAGTAAATTATCGTCCCCTAAAAATCCATCATGTGCACTAATATTGGATTGTCCATGGAATTGATTTAACATATTTCCAGGGAAAGAATTTCTGAGTTGGGTGGCAATCAAAACAGCCAAACAGGCTAGCAACAAAAAGCAGCTACTTAAAAAATCAAAAACCATATAATCTACCAAATTATGTGGCTCTTAAAATATTGGTGGAACCTCTACGCAGTTTACTTTTGACTTCAAAAAAAAGCACATATGGTCTAGGATTGTCAATCAGTACACAGTTGAGTTAAACAAAATAACACGTACACTTATATTCAAACAAAACCTCGAACAGCATAGGGATGACAGTTGATCTGATTGAGCTCTCTGGAAGTTTGGGTTGACAACCCTTGACGACCCTTCATCTGGGGAGCTGTTCAGATTATGATTATCTTCCTCTTTCTCTATCCTCCAAAAAGACAAGTTTGGCACTGGAAGCAATCATGCTTTTTGTTATCTTCCTTACAGCTTTCGACTGCTGAGGTAAATGAAAAAAATGTCATTTTCTTCAAATTTCGAGCATGCTCGAGCACATATTTTGCAAACCGAATTCCATTAGATCCAATGGAAAGTTCTATGGTTACATCCTTAAGTTGATGAATAAAAGAAATGTTTTGCAATCTCCAATATCCCATATTAAACCCAGAACACTGCAGGAAAGGCAACAATCAACAAGCAAATCAGTTGAAATTTCCGCGCCCAAAAAAAAACTAATCATGAAAGAGAGGGGGAAAGAAATGGGCAACACTTTCACTTACATCAGTTTTAGGTTCAAAGAATTCTGGGTCAGACATTATTTCCAAAGTACTCAAATTACACATTCCTTGAGAAGTGGAGACTAGCATATCACGAAATTAAAGCTTCCAACATGAATAGACAAATAACAAACATTCTCCAATAGCAGTGGCATGAAATCTCCATAGAAGACAGCCTACAAGTTATAAACACAAACATAAGGAACCGAAAGACAAGAATTACAAATATTAATTAAGAAAAGAAGTACCTGCAATATATTTGAGAAAATAAGTCGATGAAATAGTCATTACTAACTAAAAGTTGAAACTATCATGGTTTTTGAAGTACTTGATCTGTCAAAGTACTATTACAACGTTTCAGACTGACAATTCTAAAACAAACAAGAAACAGCAACATGAAATTTCATTCTAGCCAGTATAACCAAAATTAATGAAAAATACAACCAAATCTTATTGCCATCAGTTTTCTGAAATTAACTTACCCCTATTGCCATGTTGGGAAAGAAAATAACCTAAACAAGACAAAATTGAAAAAACAAAAACCATTGAATAAAAAGAACATCTTGAAGAGTAGTGTCTAGTTACCATGGCGGTCTCTCCCCTATTGCCATGCAGAGAACGTCAGACAATATTTTAAAGCAACGGCTATTACATTCCAGAAAAAAACTCGGCTTTCTCTAAAGACGTAGATTTCCCCAAACTTTGGCCAATCCCCTGACAATTTAAAATACTTAAGATTTGGAGCAAAAATATTGACCAAATTCTTGACACAGTTATGAAGATCCAAGTGAACAAGTATGTCTTCAAGTTTTTCAGCTGAGATGCTAAGGATAAGGTCAATATACACAGGGGAATCAAGCACAAAACTAAAAGATTTCAAAGAGGAGCTTTCAATGGTGATCTGATTTATTCCAAAAATATCTTCAAGATGTAACTCCTTGATGCAAGTTCCGTTTCAAAGAGGAGCACTTACATGAACATGAGATCCATTTGAAAAACCCCTCATCTTCTATGAAAACATCATCCAACTTCCGGTGTTTGAAAAATCGGACTACGCTGGCGGCTAGGCGGTCGCTAGGCGGGCGCTAGGCGGCTAGGCGGTGGCTAGGCGTCTAGGCAGTAGCTAGGCCGGAGCTAGGCGGCTGGGCGGGCGCCTAGGACGGTTGGCTCTTTTTCCGGTGCCAAACCTAGAGGACGAAGCGGTGTGCAAGTTCCGTACTCTGCGAGTGCAAGCTTTTGGAATATTTAAAGAGTTTTTTTTTTTTTTTTTTTTTTTTTTTTTTTTTTTTTTTTTTTTTTTTTTTTTTTTTTTTTTTTTTTTTTTTTTTTTTTTTTTTTTTTTTTTTTTTTTTTTTTTTTTTTTTTTTTTTTTTTTTTTTTTTTTTTTTTTTTTTTTTTTTTTTTTTTTTTTTTTTTTTTTTTTTTTTTTTTTTTTTTTTTTTTTTTTTTTTTTTTTTTTTTTTTTTTTTTTTTTTTTTTTTTTTTTTTTTTTTTTTTTTTTTTTTTTTTTTTTTTTTTTTTTTTTTTTTTTTTTTTTTTTTTTTTTTTTTTTTTTTTTTTTTTTTTTTTTTTTTTTTTTTTTTTTTTTTTTTTTTTTTTTTTTTTTTTTTTTTTTTTTTTTTTTTTTTTTTTTTTTTTTTTCCCCGGGGTATCGCCGGTCAGCTATACTATTTATTTTATTTAAGAAGAGAAACTCGCCGAGCAATGATGTCGAAAAAAGCCAGGCAGGTTATCATTGTTTCCCACAGGATGGAATGTAGGAGGGAGAACCTACCCATTGAGCCTTTGGATCCATATTCAAAGGTTAGAGCTCATATAATCCACATCGTGCTAAAGTCATTGTCTTCCATTATCATGATTTTGAGCCAAAAGCATGCTATAGTTTATCTCTGTCTTCTTTCTTTCCAGAAATCTTAGGACTTGAAGATGGAGTTGAGTAAAGCAGAAAGACATATTTTAAAGGAGGATGGGTTTCATTTGTCATGTTGAGCATCCACATAAGTTTATATCAAATTATCTTGCACACTGGAGACACCACCAGAATTAACACAAGAAGCCTGGAAACTAGCAAGTGAAAGGTACTTCCCCCAAATATGCCAATTACTTATTTACTTTCTTGGCACTTGGTTTTTCTATTTGACTTTCAAACTTTCGAACTTTACATTATTGTTTAATTATTGGGAATTTTTTGTTTTACTGGTGGATCAAAGGGTGTGTTGCGGTGTAGTTTATGCTGCCGCTTGGAGGTTTCAAGTGCCCCTTCCTGAGAATCCGCCATGGTGGAAGGCATTTGATGCTGAGAAATCAGGGATTGACGAAGTTTGTAGGGTGCTGGCTCATCTGTACAGCCTTCCTAAAGCAAAGTACGTACCAGTCTGTAAGGATGGAGATTCTTTTACATTTTCTAACAAGTCATGTAATTCACAGCCTCGGCCAATTCCAAAGGTAGTTCCGATTCTTCTTCTTCTTTTTTTCTCTCTCTAATTCCTGCCCCGATCCTAATAATAGCCCATCAGCTATTGAAATACCTCTAATTCAAAGGCTGCAGCAGAAGTCAATCCTGAATCTGGTGGATCAAAGGGTGTGTTGGCCAAGCTAGCCATTGATAAGCTGAAGGACTCTAAAGAGAGTGATGAAAGTATGCCTATCAGGGAGAGGCAATAGAAGATTTCAGTATCAAATCCAAGTTTGAACGCAAAATGGAATCTAGTGGCAATAAAAGCAGGGACAGGGACAGGGACAGGGACAGGGAGAGAGATAAGGAGAGGGAAAGGGAGAGAGAGAGACAGAGACAGAGACAGAGACAGGGATAGAATGAAAGTCCGGGGGGCAGGAATTCTGACCGGGAATGAGATCGAGAAGGGGCTGAGAGGGACAGAACCAAGGACCGAGGTTATCGTTCAAAGGATAGAGCAAAAGATTCAGGTTGGTTATGGGTTTTATACCTCCCCCCCCAACGTTGTCAAAATTGGATTTATGAACTTGCGTCATATCAAATTTTCTCAATCTTCAATTTCTATGTTGAATGCACAATATTCTGCAGGGGGCATTTGGAGAAATCAAGACATCAGTCGTTCCGAGGTATGCTTATTCAAGAATAGTTCATGTGCTTTTTCTTTTCTTTTTTCCTGAAATTGTGTGGATGTTCAGTTTAAATCCCGTCATCTGACACTTACCCTTGTTTTACAGATCGCGACTATCACAATTCCTCCTACTCTTCACGGGAAAAGGATCGCCATAGACATCATTCTTACGCTTCAACTGATCATCAAGTTCATGACATCTCTCTTTTTCTCCTAAACTTCAACGGAACTGAAAATACTTTGGGCTTTGTATGTTGACAGAAAATGTAAAAGTGAGCAACATTGAGACTAGTTAAGGATAAGCATGACTCTTTAACACGTGAGGACGAAGCAGTGACTGCAAGTGCAATTTCCGTCCTCTGCGAGTGCAAGTTTTTGGAATATATTTAAAGCGTATAGCCGTGCGGCTATACCGTAAAAATATTCGAATGTATTTAGAGAGTATAGCCGAACGGCTATACGTTTAAAATATTCAAATATATTTGAAGAGTATAGCCGCTCGACTATACCCTTTAAATATACAATTTTGTCATGCACGTGGGCAACACTAGCATCCATGAGCGGGTCTTACTTATACATTGGGGACTGGTATGACATCTGAGAAGAAGTACGATGCCAAAAAAGCAGCTTGTTGGGGTGCTCTGGATTGGCTAATCGGAAAAGATCGTTCGACTCCACTGGTGGATCTTCTTATGAGAGTAAATAGTGACATGAATGAGAACCTCAGTCGCTCCTTTTTTAAAGCTCTTCAGTCTAATGGCAATTACCTCCGAATTCAGGTAACACAATAAAATTGAGATAAATGGCAAGTGGTCGTTTGTTTGCTTTTATGTTATGTATATGTACACAGAATCAAAATACATTAGCCTAAATTATGTACAACACAAACTAAGCATGGAGTTGGCCAGACCTCAAGCTGTTATGGCCACTGGTCAGGTTCTGTTTCACCATTTCTATTGTAAGAATTTCTTTCTAAAACCATGGTCCGAAATCGAGAGGAATGAATGATTTCTTTTAAATTTTTGCCTTTTAATAATGTGATGCTTTCTTGTAAAAAGTTGCTGCCAGCTGTTTGTGGCTTGCATCAAAACTGGAGGAATGCCCTAAAAAAGCCAGGCAGGTTATCATTGTTTTCCACAGGATGGAATGTAGGAGGGGAACCTACCCATTGAGCCTTTGGATCCATATTCAAAGGTTAGAGCTCATATAATCCACATCGTACTAAAGTCATTGTCTTCCATTATCATGATTTTGAGCCAAAAGCATGCTATGGTTTATCTCTGTCTACTTTCTTTCCAGAAATGTTCGGACTTGAAGATGGAGTTGAGTAAAGCAGAAAGACGTATTTTAAAGGAGATGGGTTTCATTTGTCATGTTGAGCATCCTCATAAGTTTATATCAAATTATCTTGCCACTCTGGAGACACCACCAGAATGAACACAAGACCTTGGAGTTCCAAAATGGCCTTTTCTTTCTTCTAGGCACCAGCGCCCGCCTAGCCCCCGCCTAGACCGCCTAGCGCCTGCCTAGGCCATTTATTCATATATGAGTGATAGTGTGTTCAAGGATTTAATTTTTAAAGAAGATTTCCGAGAATTGGAAAAGAAAGAGATGATGCTTACATTGTTCCTACAACCTTGTGAGTATTTGCTAGACTCCGTGTTCGTGCCAATCCAAAATCTGCAAGTTTTGGGTTCATGTTCTCATCCAGAGAATGTTACTAACCTTCAAATCTCTATGTATTACCTTCAAACAGGAATCATGGTGGAGATAAAGACCCCAATCAAGCACTGCTCCTCCTGGCATTGGAATTTGGAATTCAAAATATAACAGTAAAGTCATTAATACATCCCAATCCCGTGCACTTCACAATGAAAAAATTTACCATCACTAGGTAACAAAGAGCGGTTGGTAACATTTAGAGATAGTTGCTTCCGCTTATACCAACATAGGCTTAATAATTTGAATCTGTCAAATGATATGAGTACATATGCTATGACTATTAGAAGTATATTACATTTTCTACAGAATATACACTCCCAATAATCTTATTATATATTCTTCTGAGTTCTGGTTGGTACAACAACAAAAGCTTTAATGAAAGGCATATAAACATGGAAGAAAGAGACAATGATGAAGAAGGTAAGATTTTCACACAACTATCTGGATCCCCTGGGCTATCAATGAGTAAGGTCTGTTACCAACGTACTAACAAGGAATTTGAGGTTTCACATGACTTTCAGGAAGCAGAAAAGCAGTTGGAATTGGAGTCCAAACGTGGCGGTGAGTGTATATATAGACCAAGTTTAGAGATTATGCACTAATATGAACTAAAAGAAAACTCTAAAGCGCACATCTCCTCTGTTGCAGATGGTTTCATTGCAAGATGAGCAGGTCAGTTCCAAGTTCTTGGTTATCTGCAATTTTGAAGTTGTTTCAGATTCTGTCTCATTGAATTTGTGAACAACTCTGTCCAGGTACCTATAGAAGGAGTTATCGATGCTTGTGTATGTCTCGGTGGCTTTTCTTATTGTTCACATTGTTAAGGTAAGTAATTTTACTATGTAGTTTTGTATAAATAAATAAGCTTTTCAAAAGATAAGATCATCATTAGAAATGTAGTCAAGTTCAATCTTTATAATTCCTCTGCATTTGCAGGGGACGCACTATTGCTTTGAATTTTGTTACTGAATGAATCTATTTGAATCTTTATGCACTATTGCTTTTAATTTTGTTACTGAATGAATTTATCTGAATCTTTATGCAGACATCACTAGCAATGAATCTTTATGCAGACATCACTAGCAATGTAGTCAAGTTCGCTCTGTTAGGCTTGCTATGGTTACACGTCACAACAAAAGCATGATTACTCATATGAATGCCCTAAGAACCATGAAATGAAATTATAAAGCTGTCCGGAGGACTATAAACTGATTATGGGTGCAGTTGGATTGAAATTAAATTTAGAATCGTTTGCCTTAGCTTTAGAATTGGTTTTTCCATATTTTTTCTATAAAAAAATAGTATAGCCGCTTGGCTATACTCGATTTTTCAAATTTATTTAAAATAAATAGTATAGCCGGATGGCGGCTACCGGCTACCGGCTATACTCCGTTTTTCTATTGGTTTTTCAAATTTAAAAACTATACCCGGTTTTTTAATTTTATTTAGGATAAATAGTATAGCCGCTCGGCTATACGCGGTTTTTAAATTTTATTGACATAGAACTAGTATAGCCGTCCGGCCAGACTTTAATTTTTTTTAAAAGAAATAGTATAGCCGCTCGGCTATACTAGGGTGTTTTTTTAAAAAATAATAAAAGAAATGGTATAGCCTCCATTTTTCTAATTTTTATATAAAGAAATCGTATAGCCGCGGCTATACTAGGGTGTTTTTTAAAAAAATAATAAAAGAAATAGTATAGCCTCCATTTTTCTAATTTTTATATAAAGAAATCGTATAGCCGCCCGGCTATACTCTGTTTTTTTTGTTTTTTTTTTTTTTTTTTTTTTTTTTTAAAAAAAATAGTATAGATGCGAGACTAAACCAAAAAAACCAATCACAATCAATCACTAAACTGTGAAGAAGATTTCATGATCTTCCCTCCCTTGGCAAATCCAAAACAGCTCCATGAAATGAGCTCAACCTAGAAGAAGCTACAAAAGCTATGAGTATGGGCAGTATCGCTGCAATCCATGCTGTTATGAGCAACCCAACAAGACCCACTTCCATTTTAGCAAAAGCCCATATCAGAACAGAACTTAAAGAGTTGAAAAAGGCTAGTCTCTCTGCCAAAGGAAAGCACTAGCTCAACTGGGTCTTCAAGAGCAAGGGCCTTTTTTTTCCGGAGAAACAGTACATGCAATGCACATAAAAGGAAAAAACAAAGAAAAAAAATATGGAGAGAAATTTAATTTATTGTAGAAATGAATGCAATCACGAGGTGGTGGACACGAGTCGTCCGAGTTTATGAGATACCATTACCAGGCATGACGTGAGGTTTTGGGATAGAACTAGTCTCCGAGCTTTGCGTCTTTGCTTCGTGGGAGGTAAAGTTATAGCACAGTATTGAAGGATATAACGACACTCTGCTCAGGGTAGTTTCGGGCTGTAATAGCTTCTGCCAATTCACAATTTTTATTTTTTTTTAATAGTAAATTTAGCTTACACCCTTCAAATTCAATTTTCAGTACCTATAACCCTTCACTTTTTGTTCCTATAAATAATACCCAATTTGTATAAGTATAAACTCATGACTAGGATCCAACTCAGCAAGTTACCTAATTAAGCCTAAAATCTGATTTATTGTACTTTTCAGATTCCATAAATATCCCCAACTAAGCCATTATTGCATTTTGTATATTAATGTAGGAATCAATATGGAAACAGTTTTTAATTGAATTATATATAATGACAGATGTTGAATTTGGAAAGATCTCCAAATGGTTGTAATGGATGTAGGAATTAATTTTGAAACATTTAAAAAAAAATTTAACAATAAATTCATATTTAGGTAATCGGTTTGTTTAATAAAATGTTTATGTTATTTTCTTTTATGAATTATACATGACTAATAATCCACTTTATAATTGTTTATGAATAAAATTGTACATACTAATTATGTTGAAAAAATAATGTACCTATTATTTGTTTGTTTTATGAAAAATATAATTTATCTAGTATGAAAAGTGTACATAATTATCTATTCCAATATACCTACATTAATTTTAATGTACTTACAATTAGGATTTAGGTATTATATGTCATCCAATATACATACCATTTGAATAATATACCTACTACAAATAAAGTACCTATTATTTATCTAAGTAATGTACCTATTTTTTTCTATAAATAATATAGCCTTTTTTCTCTGAATAAAGTACCTATTATTTGTTTTATTAAAAGTAATTTTTTTAAATGAACCTATTTTCTCTCTCCAAATAACTTACCTATTTTTTTCCTCTAATAATGTACCTATTTTTCCTCTCCAAATAATATACCTATACACATTTATAGGTAGTTTTTAAAATAATTTACCTATGGGTAAATAATGTACCAATATTTTATATAAATTATTGTGTACCTATTTTTAATTATGAAAAATATACGCAATTACAAAGTAACCGACTTTTTTTTTGGGTAAATAATATACCTATATTTTATATGTATATATATTACATTTTTCATAGGTACATTATTGGATATGTAATTTACAGATTTTTTTTTGTTTGCAATTTTAGGAGGTGAGATGTGAGAGGGAATGACAACTAAAAGAAATGGGGTGATTGATATGTTATTAATAGGGAGTATATTAATTACAAGGGATATTCATTGAAATGTCATCTGAACTTATAACTTAGTTTGAATTTGTCACCTAAATAAAAAATTTAAGAGAAATGTCACCTGAATTTTTCAAAATCTATGATTTGTCACCTAACTTTAACATCATCCAATTGTCCACCTATTTTCAAGGGTATTTTAGTCTTTTTATCTTCAAGAGTATTTTTAAAAATGGAAAAATCATTATAAAAAAATTATGAAAAGACCCTTGAAAATTATAAAAATTATATATCTTTTCACATTTAACCCCCAACCATTTTACATTTAAGCTTTATTTTTTTAATAATAATTTTTTACATTTTTTAAACATCCTTGAAAATGAACAGACTAAAATACCCTTGAAAATAGATGGAAAATTGGATGATAGTAAACTCAGGTGACAAATCATGGATTTTGAAAAATTCAAGTGACATTTCACTTAAATTTTTTTTCATGTGACAAATTGAAACTAAGGTATAAGTTCAGGTGACATTTCGACAAATATCCCTAATTACAATTATGGCACTTAATGAAATGCTTGAAATAAATTATAAATAAAATATGAAGTTTAGTAGCAACGATGTAAAAACATAAAAATACTACGACATCTTATATCCTACTAGTCATTTAAATTTGAAATTGAGTTTTACACATAGATTTATAGAATGATGGGTATATGTCCAGAAAATATAAAATGTAGGAATTTATATTGGACAAGCTCTTTTTTTAACAATCACCTACAGTAAACCCCCCAAACTAAGGGATCATTACAGACTCAGACCTAGGGGTGTACGTCATTTCGTTACTAGTATTTCAATTAAAATTAGATTGGATTGGATCGGTAAGTTTGGGCGGATTGAATTGTTGCCCATATTTCAAGCCTTCAAATCGATCCAGAAGTGATCCAATGTGGTAGTAGTCCCTATTCTTATAAGATCTATCTATTCTGATCCTTTTTGTTTACTGTTTTGTTTGCTTTCTATTCCCTTTCCTTGTATTAGAGAGACTATAACAAAAAGAATGAAAAAGAAAGATGCTTCTTCTGCAACTTATTATAACAATACCTAAAAGAAAGAAGAACCATGGATGTTTCCCCTGTCACATTATGTCACTTATTGTGAAATAATGGATCTTAAAGCATCTTTCACAGAAGAGTACTTGAACGTGAAGCCTAATTCCTGTCACATTATCTACTGAATTCCTTGGCTTTAACTGGAAGCACCCTTCGCCCATCCAGAACCTACAATGACCTTATTGAGTTTCTGAGCAATATGCAATCAGGAGAAAATTGAAAATAAGATAAAGAAAATTCTTACCACAGAAGCACCTTCTCCAAGGATCCGCTTTCAGGGCGAAATCTGGTACAGGCAGCCATGAAGGCCTACCAAGACATTTCCCAAATGTAAACACATTTCTGCAAATCAAACCGGGTTGGGTGCAGTTCCATTGATAACTCCTGAGATTAAGGTTTTAACAACCGCGTTCAATATGTTGAAAAGTTCTGAGAACCAGTATCACATGGATAGCCTAGGTGAAAATTTGATAATTCCTGAGATTTTGGTAATTGTTGAAAAGCTGAACACTTTTATCATAAATTTGTACGCAGGTATGGTAATAAATAAAAAACATTTGATATCTACCGTGACTGCATATGTCAGTTAATTAGAGTAGCTTTCAGAAGGGAACAAGATATAATGATATGAAACGGTACGTCAGATTAATAGAGTACTAGAAATCTTTAGAAGTGTAGTTATCTCCATGTGCTAGCAAACTTTAGATGAAAACAGAAGGAATCATCAGCTTCAGCACCAGTATGTTGGTTTTATTCCAACATCAATCCTTTTGTACTTTGCTAAAACTATAATTAAAATTACAAATAATGAAATCTTTACCATTATAAGATGGATTGGATAAAGCTTCATATATCAGGTTCACTATGTCATCCAGATGAATCCAGGAAAACCTACAGCACATTGAGAATAATAAATACATTTGTTGATATATCTTTGGTGCATTTATTTTCTTCTCTTCATTAAACAGGCATTCAGTAGATAATACTTAATTTGTCAAGTTATATTAATTCATTAACATCATTAAAATGATTATATTTTCCTTTTTAATGATGAGCCAGAGGAAAATGCCAACCGTAAAGTGTTAGTAGCACAAAAGTGTGACAGACTACCCTTACAAAAGGACCGAAATTTCAGAAAAATACCATTGTTTTCCAGAGCCCAAGGGTCCTCCAGCGAACACCATGAAGAGAGGGATCATTTTAGCTGCAGAAGCTCAAAGGTGTAACTATGTGTGAGGCAGGAGAAGCTTTGTTACCTTGAAACCAACAAAATTCTAGATATGCATAATTGTTACGCTAAGAAGATAAAAACCATACAACTTTTTAGAACATTTTCGCTAGTATATTTTTCTTAGATGACAACAGAAATAGAACATTAGAGATAACTATGCATAAAATACCCCAATAAAATTATGAGATCATGCAACCCTAAGCATAACCAGATTGGTCAATGTATAATGAAACAGTAAAGT